GTTCTAACACAAGTAAGGTTTGAACTTATATTGGAGACATTAAATATGAGAAAAAGATACGAACAACATTGTGATGCTATAGCTCTGAGATTGTTGAACTACATGATAGGTTTATACGATTTCCGCAGCTGTAGTTGCATCTTATTTATTATTTTGGAGAATATTTTTGCATTGCAATCGATGTTGATATACGATATACTCCCTTGTACTGACTTATATGAATGAAATGATGTTGATTTATTATTGGATAAAAATAAAACAGGATAAAAAGAAATTTATAAACTAGACATGTTTTTCGAATAAATATTTAAAATTTATTTTATAAATATATAAATAATCAATTACTGTCTTTCAAAATTATTATTTATATATTAAAAACATTAAAACATTATTAAAAAAATTACGGGAGAAATTAAAAAATTGCGGTAGATTTTTGCGGGAGATTTCCAATTGGGCTAGTTTTGCGGGAGAGAGATATCTGCGTGTAAACTAAAAAATTGCGGGAGTCTCCCGCTAATGGGGGGAGACATGGCAACCCTGATCATGAGATTTAAGACCGAATCTAAAGCTCATTATCAGTATAATTTTTTTAAAATAAAATTAAGTATTTTTTAAATAATAGTGTAGACAGCGTCTAGACGAGCTATAGGGGTAAGAACAATTTGCATCCAATTTTTTTTGAAAAAGGTATGGAGTAGTTTAAAGAGGGTAGGATAATTATTGATGGGTTATCTATTTAATTTTTAGATGAAAGGGCAAAATGTTTTGCTGTAAAAATTAATACTTTATTAAAAGCAGAATATAATAAATATTGCTAAACATCAACCAATCTATATATTTCCCACTATCATAGATATTATTTTCTAAATTAATCAATTTCTAGATCAGTTTTGCTACCCTTTTAAAAGGGTTAAAGATTCTTTCAGGGAACTCATACTATAATAATGCATTCATTGTAAATGTGAGTTTTTAAATTTCGTGTTATTAAAAATAACTACTTTGCGTTGACAATATTCGATAGTTGTTAGTAGTGCATTTATAATTTAAATTACTCATTCTAAAATTTGTGACTGGACTACTATTATAATTAATGTAGAAATATAGGCACCGAAGGCGACTAATTTTTTAGGGAGGTGGGTAATGATTATCGAGAAACGTTTGCGTCTAGTGTAGATACTAACATAATCATCCAGAGCAAAATATTTGAGGTTTAAATAATTTGTATTAAAATTTTTTATTTTTCCTACGAAATCAGAACTAACTTATTTAATTATAAAATACAAAAAATCTTGGGATTCAATCATTATTTCGAAGATAATAATTTATTCTCAGTTTAGTCATTTTTTAATAGGTATTTTTGTTCCTCTATTTGTTATTCTTATATTAAATAAATTGCAAAATTTAATTGCTTCGTTCATATGAAGAAAAATACAAACTATTTCTTAAATTTGACAAAGAAATGATAAAACACTCAATGAAAGCCAAATCTGTTGATATGTCCGAATCTTTTTTTTTCAAAAAATAGAAATATTGGAAATAATAATTTTTGAAATATAAACATACATATAATTGTATTATATTGTAAAAGAATGTATAAAATTCCCTTTGCTTTCACCACATTATAATTCTCAATAATAGCTAAGAAATGATTCTAGAGATAGTCATTTTTATTTCTTCTTTAGTTCTAATATGGGATCCCCAACGTTTAGAACTTAAGGTATTAAAATTTTTAGATTTTAACCCTAATTTTAATTGCAAATTGGAAAACTGATATTGCGAAATAAACTTGAATACTTTTTAATACAATGAAAAATGTTCCTAGACAGAGGTACTGATTTGATAGCAGAGATCTATTTATGGTTGAGTTTATGCACTTGGAAGTACACATATAGCCATTTTGTCATTATTGCGATATCTTTCCTGAACTCCTGAAAGATGTTATTTATAACATTACATTTGCCAGAGAAACATAAATAGCATTTAGGGAATTGTTGCTCGTCGTAATGAATGAGTAAAAGATGTTTTAATGAATATACTTACTTTTTATAAAGAAATTTCTTATACCTTGGGAATATTTGACATGGTAATTAAAATTATAATGAATAATATTATTGATTAGTGATTTTAAACTCGCCTAATTACAATATTAAAATTATTAATTTTTGATATTGTTAACATAGTGAAAATATAATTTATATTTATTCATCTAGTGTTATAATTAAAATAAACTCATTTAATCAAAATAGATAGTTTTATTAATTTTTAAATAATTAAATCAAATCTATATATATAATACATAATAAAATTCTAAAATAAATCGTTCAGGGAACTATCAAAAAATTAATTTTTGTTTCAGGGGATATTAGAAAGCTATTAAAAAAATATTTTTGCTTCAAAACAGGGGCGTCGCTAGCCTTTACAATATCAGGGTGCTCAACTAAAAAAAAATTTATGCATACTCCCCTAATTTGCGGGCCTCGGCCAGGTTTATATTAATATAGATTTTTCAGATTAATTAAGTTGGAACAATTATTCTTTGCGTCTAAAGATTTACAAATGATATAAAAGGTTAATTAGTTCATGCATATGCTTCAATTGATAATGGTTTAAAAACGACATAGACAATATAATTCTTAGAAACTTACATTGACAAAAGGTAATGAAATTAATATAACTTTCTGTTACCATTTTGCACAATGTTTTATGAAAAGGACCAATAAGGAAAAATTTAAATGTCTAACCAAATTAACAATTCTTAAAGAAAAGAATATAAACGACCAATCCAAATCATAAAACTATATGGTTGTTAGAGCCTCCTCTTAAATGATATGATAAAAGTTAGATAAGTAATCGAGATAATTATTGTGAGATATTATATTTCTAAAAGAATATCTTCCATTTTAATGATATATAAACGACTACACATTTGGCCATTATTGCTTATCTATAATATGCTCTCAGCAGCTATAGTAATATTCTTAAAATACATAGTGTCACAAATAATAGATGCTGGTTAATTTGCAGTCATAGCCATCATATCATAATTTATTATGTTAGATAAATTGATAAAATAACAACACTAAAAATAATAAATTTTGCAAATAAATTGAACCTTGAGTTATTTACATGGCAAGGATGCCATATTAGAAATGAAACATTTTATAACTATAAAATAAGAACCAGAGTGAAATGATGAAAGCAATTAAGATTTTATATATTATTTCGCACAACATTAAGTTGGTATAGAGAAGAAAATATATCTAATTTATAACAACCTTTGTGGGATGAATAATAAGATGTTTAATTTTAAATAATTTTTAAATAAATAGATGGCGTTAAAGAAATGCAAATTGTTACTTATATTTATTATCAAAAGCATTTAATAGTAAAATTTATTAAAATATTAACTGTTAAATATTATATTATATAACTGTTAAATACGTCTGAAGTGGCATTTTACCTAATATTTTATAATCAATTATATATAATAAGAAATCTCTTATACTTTATTTGGACCTTGAAAATATTTTTAGGAAGAAGTATGGTAATTAAATTTAAAAATGAATAATATAGTTGATTAGTGATTTCGAACTCGGATAATTACAATATTAATTTGTTTCAATTAATAAATGATTATATTTATTTATTTAGGGCTATATAATAATTTAAATAATAACATTCAATAAAGCTTCAACTGTTTATGTTAAATTAATATTTAGTGATTGATATTGATATTCTATTTTAACACAGAATTTGATTGCAAGCTGACATACTTAAAATATAATTTATATGTAATAATATAATCTATTAATTAAAATGGTATTTGTTTAATAAAAATTTAGATAGTTTATTAATTTTTAAATAATAAAATTAAATCTATATATTACTTAATAGAATTATAAAAGAAGTCGTTCAGGTGGCAAACAAAAAAATTTATTTTTTAGATCAAATGGACATTAAGGAGCTATAAAATAAATATTTTTCAGGGGGCTATTCAAATTTTTTAGGGGGCTCGAGCCCCTGCACGCTTCCCCCTAGTAATGCCATTGCTTCAAAAGGCTATCAAATTTTTTAGTGGTCATTAGCCCAGCGCTTATAATCTCCCCCCCCCCTTATCTTGACCCTTCTGAGTATCAATCAAATCGATGCCATTTTTTAAAAATATTTTAGCTTTATAGGGAAGATGTATTTGGTAATAAATTTAGAATGATAGATAAATATCAAGGAAAATTTAGAATCGATATTATTTGGAAGAATAAATTAGTAGCGTGTTTTTTTCTGATGTGAATAGGATATATAAATGTAAATTGGAATATATACAGATTATACGAATAATTATTGTAAAATAATATATATTAACAAATATGAAACAATATTTTTTAAACAAAGAATATTTCACTTTGGGAGGGGATTATATCCCCAACGCTGTGTATGCCAATGGTCTTCTAAGTAATCACTAAATAAATTTTTTAACATTATTGTTTTTTTAGCATGGATAAAAAAATACAAAAAAAAAATAAATAAAAAACTAATAAATAATGATAAAAATTAAAAACATAATAAATAGGACATAAAATTAAAAAGAGATAACAAAAATATCGAAAAAAATTAAGAAAGAAAATACAAAATACAAAATTTAAAAAAATTTGGCAAAGTAATTCCATTTCTTTCAGGGTAATATAAAATGACAAAAATTCTGTAAAATGACGATTTACCTTTTGTGAATAAAATTTTACCTTTTTATGAACCTTTTATTATAGGTTTTTTGTTAAGCAACCCGATTTTAAAAACGGAAAACTCAAAACTTTAATAAAGTATACTACTGGATATTTTGCTCATAGGTGGCAGAAATGTTTATAACAAAATTTTGAGAGCTTACATAATATTATTTTGATTAAAATCTTAATTTGGCTATTTTAAAAATTAACTTAAATTCGTTAAACAACACCATTTAAAGAGCTTTTCATTTTGGTAACATTAAATAATTTATAACTTTCCTTGTGCTTTATTAATTATCTTGCTTTTAGATGAACAGTTGGTAAAAAAAATTTCATGCACCTTTTATAAATTTAAAATTACTTTAGACCATTCTCATGGATCAACATGAAGTATCTACTCCTCGACCTCTTCAAATAATTTCTGTCCATGACGTTCATAAATTTGAATTAAATGAGGAGTTATTAAAAACTATTTTGTTTAATGAAAAGGTTAAAAATAAAAAAGTTGTTGTTGTATCTATTGCTGGTGCCTTTCGGAAAGGAAAGTCCTTCCTACTGAATCTATTTCTCAAATACCTTAATATATCAGTAAACATATTATTTTGTTATGTTTTAGATACACATATATATATTTTTTTATAAATCATCATTATTGCGTTTATTAATAACATTTTATGGTATTGATTTCTAAGTTTAATGTTCTATCACGTATACTTAATTTTTGATGATATCCATAAAATTGATTTAAAATAGCCACAAAATGCTTCAACTGGTAAATGGTTAGATGATAAGAGTCATGAGCCTTTAACTGGGTTTCTATGGAGAGGAGGATCAGAAAGAGAAACTACAGGGATACTAATGTGGAGTGAACCTTTTATTAGGAAATTACCAAATGGGGAAGAAGTAAAACAATGCAATTAATATTTTTTTTGTTATAATATATATATAATTAATCACTCTTTAAGCTTACATTAAATTTCATATGTAAAAATAATTGTTAATCTTTTTAAAAAAATTAACATTTTAATTATTTATATAATATATTAATTATTTAAAAATTTATTTCTAATTTGATTTATATAAAAAATATGAATAATAGCAGCCATATGCTTAGATATTTTCTCACTTTTCTATAATCACCAAAATGTTTACCCATGTTCATATTTTTAAACATTAACAGTTGCCTATTAATTATTTTAGTAAAACTATATACCATAAATATAATATGCATTCTTAACTGAGAATTATTTTTAAATTTAAAAAACAGCATGTCTCTTTAAAAATATGAACATGGGTAAACATTTTGGTGTGAGATTTCTAAAATTGAGAGACGTGCTTCTTTCTTAATTATAAAGGTTATATTGAATAGGATATCTATAAAATAAAAAAAAAACCATTTTAAAATTCAGATGAAATTTATATCTTGAGGTAATAAGAAATAGGGTTATAAAAACATAAACAAAACTAAAAGCAGCTATTTCATATTATATAATCTTACGAGGTTGCATGATTTCAAAAGTCCTAGAAAGTATTCCATTTTAAATAATATAAATATTGTTAAATATCAAGATATCCTCACCAAAGTGCAGAGCCACTTAATTTATTATTAAGACCTTAAAAAATTACACCTTTTATAAAGATGTTCATTTTGTAGAATTTATAAAATACCTTAACAATTTCTGGTGCTAAAAAGATGTGTTGATAATTTTTTTATTTTCGTTATAGTAAAAAGTTTTACTTTTATCTATATAAATAAAATATACCTTAAATTTTTAAAAATTTAGAAAGAATAAGTGGTATATGGATACCATCTCCCCCAGCCATAAAGAGTCAGAAATTTTAAAATAAGATTAGATGAAGGGGAACATTGCATTAATTCCACCTTTATCTTTTTAAATTTGTTTTAACCATCAAAATTAAAAAAAAATCATATCTTTTTAAAAATTTCTTATTTGATTAACTTCTGTTTCAAATATAAATATAAATTTTAATTATTTAAAATATACTTAATTTTAATATCTTGGTGGTTTCAATAAAGATGATCTAAGCGTTAAGTTTAAACTTGATATTTAAGTAGTTTACAATTCATATTATCCAGTCTGAAAGGATTAAAGGATCATAATATCAATTTGTTACTCAGAATAGTGATCTGCTTGGGCCTAATTTTTCAAGCCCGGCCCGAAATTTTTTTTAGAAAAGTTTTGCCAGCCCAGCCCGAACCCGTAATTTTTTTTAAAAAGTTTTGCCGACTTGTCCCGAACCCAAAATTTTTTTCAAAAAAATTTATCGACCCAGCCCGGCCCGAATTTATTTAAATATAGAAATTAATCCTTATAATTACTCAAAATAAAAGACATATATTTCGTTTAGTTTCAATAAATAAAATCAAATATTTTTATTTTACATAAAAAATTCAATATAAAATTGATAAATTTAGATATATTTAAAAAAATTTGCAAGGTCCGACCCGACCCGGCCCAAATTTTTTCTTAAAATATAAGGCCCGGCCCTAACCCAATTATTTTAAATAGATATAGGCCCGAGCCTGGCCCGAAGCCCGTTTGGGCTGGGTACGGGCCGGGCCTAACTTTGCAGATATCTAACACAGATCCCGATTCTATTTGGTAATATTTAAGTTTAATTCAAATGAGAGATTGGAAAGCACTGACCTGGAAGAAATAATTATATGTTTTTTTTAGTGTTTATAGGAAAATCGATATCTCAGAATGTATCCCAATATTTCATTAAATAAGTGCCACGAAGAATAGAGTTATAAAGTCAATTTTAAATAAATGGATAAAAATAATAATTTTTCAGCATTGTAGGACAATAATTTTGAGTAGTAATATATTTTAAAGAATATATTTTTTAATAATTAAAATATATTAAATTTTGTAAATTTTTCATTTTGATTTTTTTTCCCTCCATAATTTATATATTTTTTTTTAAGCTAAAAATAAATAAGAGTTAGATATCATTGGTGGGACATACTGTATACATAAATGTATAGAAATTTTTGTAAATCATTCTGTCACCAAAATATCAATTTTGCATAATATAAATCTATTATTCGTTATAAGCTAAAAATAAATAAGAGTGGTTAGATATCATTGGTGGGACATACTGTATACATAAGTGTATAGAAATTTTTGTAAATCATTCTGTCACCAAAATATCAATTTTGCATAATATAAATCTATTATTCGTTAATATTCATAAATTATTTTCCTAATTAAAAGGTTGTAATATTATTAATGGATACGCAAGGGGCTTTTGATAGTCAATCCACTGTTAAAGATTGTGCCACTGTATTCGCTCTTAGTACCATGCTAAGTTCCGTGCAAGTAAATCATGGAATATATAAGCTTATTCAATAACAATATGAATCGAATAGTTCAATTATTCACATTTGATTCGTTTAAATAAATCGAATAACTTATTTTTGTTATTCATTTGAATGTTAAAATTAGTTTTTGTATTCAATAATATTGATTTAGAGAATGATAATTTATTTTTAACTGCAAAATATTATTTATATTTAATTTAAAATCTTGTTAAAAAAAGAACTTAAGTTTTAGTTGGTTTAACGAAATAATTAAAAAATTCACCTGACAATAAATAATGGATATTATTTTCTACTCTTCATTTTCCCCAAACGTAATATACGTATGCAAATTTAAGAGTCTTGGCGTGTACTAATTTTATTGATGAATCGAGATCATAAAAAAATAATATTCAAGATCCTTTTATTTTACAGTTTTAATGATAATTTTATTATTATAAAGAACTTAAATAGTTATCTTTTTTTTTAAAAAAAATTATTTTTTTAATACAGCTGGAGAAATGGAATTCTATTTCAAATGAGCAAAAAAATTGATATTTTTAACCAGAAATTTATAGTCACGTTATAATATGTTCTAGTTATATCAAAAACAAAATTTTAGCTCATTATCAATTATATTACCTGAGATAATAAAAAATAAGATTTTTTTAAACTCTTTACCCCATGTTATGAGGAAAATATCGAAAAAATTTTTTTTAAAAAATAATATGGGTTATCCATATGACTATTGAAAGATTAAGACTTAGTTAATTTTTTAACATCGGTAAAAGGTTGTTTAAAAAAAATCCCGTTTTTTATCTATAATACCCATAATCTGGAAAAATAATTGCTAATGAGCTAAGATTCCGTTTTTGATATAACTATAGAAGATATATAGTGTGCCTAGAAAATTTTAATTATAATTGAAGGGGTTCCGATCTGGGGTATTTGATAGAGATGTTGTTCTTCCTTTGTATTTATAATGCTCTTGCATTGATTACAATCAGCCTTTTCACTATTTACATGGTTATACACATTATTAAATTACCACCCATAAACTTGATCATCATGTTCAATTAATATAATCACATTATTCATTATCCGTAAATTATGCTAGAATTTTAGGTAATAAAATTATCACAAAATTATTAGGGTTAGAACTATAAATTTTTCACAATTTTGGGATTAAATTTTATTTAAAAAAAAATTGGTATAAGAAAATTGTAAAATAAGTAATCTATTTCAATACAAATTTGGAAAAAAATAAATGATGAAATTTAATCATATTTTTTTTTAAAAAAAATTGCTATTTAAAAAAATAAATTATCTAAATAGTACTATATTATTTGAATCGAATAACTATTTATTCGTATTCGATTAAAACGGACAATTTACTATTTATATCTATTTCTATTCGATTCTTTTTTTGAATAGGCTTAATCCTTACAGCTTTTATTCTCTTTCAAATAAACTAAGTCTTACTATCTATATTTACATTTTTTTTACTCTAAAAAAATATATATAGTTATTCAACCTTATTCAAAATATTCAAGAAGATGATTTACAACATTTGCAATTATTCTCTGAGTACGGGAGATTAGCCTTTGAAGATTACACTAATAAACCTTTCCAAGTAAAGCTTTGATTTTCATAATTGGAAAGTTTATTGTTTTATCAACCATTTCATCCATCGCCTAGTTTAAAAACGCAGAGTTCTAAAATGAGTAATTTTTTATAACAAACTGGAAATGCCTCGATAATTTTATTATAAATTTAACATCTGACAACAATTTTTCAATTATTTTCGCATTTATTCGTTTTAAATAATTTATTTAGATTTTATGAGCATATTAAATAAATAATTCTTAATCATAAATTTATAGTGATAATTATTTAAAATATAAAACATAATACTTAATCATGACATATGTAATGTAGTCTCTAATGCCTTATACTTCATTCTAAAGCAAAATAAATCTAGTTTTTGATAATTCATTTTATTATAAAATAAAGTAATTTTTTAATGACTAAAATGGCAGGGTTAGTAATATGTTACACTAATTTTTATCGTATATATTTAGCATCTAATGTTCCTAATTAGGGACTGGAGCTATCCTTACGAGTATCCCTTTGGCTTAAGCGGTGGTATTAAATTGTTGGACAAACGATTAGAAGTTTTCTATATTTATTTCTATATTAAATATATCATATAATACAGATATATGTTTACTATTACTATGATATTTTTGTTTTTTGAAGATTTTTCTTTTGCGCCACCTATTCTATATTAAACTGGCTTCTTTGCTCGCTCTTATTATTTATATTCTTATGGTTAATTTTTATAAATTTGCGCATGCTCATAAATGAATTATTTTAGGCTTCGCTAGCACGCGTTCGCTGCTCTCATAGCGAATGCCACGGGTATTTAATATTATTAAATTATATAAAGTCTTCAACAACTATTTAAAACCTAACTTCAAGAAATATTTATTAAAGCTAGCGTGTTATTTTAAGGTTAAATTACAAATATTTTTTTTAAAGAAATACTATTATTACTCGAATAATAATAATCGCAACTAAATATACAAAAGATTCAAGATAATCAACATTCCGAACTTCAGCAGATTAGAGCTCATATTAGAACCTGTTTCGAAAAACTTGATTGTTTCCTTTTGCCCCACCCAGGTCTTAACGTTGCCACCTCTCCACAATTCGATGGAAAGATTAAAGGTTTGAATTACTTTATATATTCATTTTTTAAAAAAAATATGATACGGGAATTATCATTTTTTTAATTTTCAAATTGACAGCTAAAGTTGATAAACGGCTCAATTTGAGCCCAATTTTTTAAACATCTAACTCAATTTCTTAGCCAGAAAAATATTACGCAAGCCCTGAAAATTTTGCTCATATATGGCACAAAGGTTTAGACGTTTATTAACGCAATATCGAGGCTTTGGTTGTTTTTAAAAATCGGCTCAAATTGAGCCATTTAACAACATTAATCAAAGATGACAAAACTAGAGTTATCGAAATATCTAAAAAAAATTATACAAATTGATATTACCATATAATATTTAAAAAAATAATTAATATAAAATTTTTTTAAATACCTTAATTTTTTTTTTCTGGTCATGGGTTACTTTATTTGAATATTTACTGATATGATATATTGTCGTAAAAAAAATGTACGGGAATAGAAAATGATGCAAAATACAAGATTTAAATTATTTTTATTAATATTCTCAATAAATATCTTAGATCAATCAAAAATAATTTTCTACCAGTTTATCCAAATCATTAAGAACATTATTATTAAAATTTTTTATAATTAAGTAAAATATTTTCTATATAAATATTATTTTTTTTTAAAAAAAGGATATATATTTTTTTAAATATTCGATGTTTTATGTTTGTCATAAATTATTTTTATGTCCATCAAACCCATGTATATATTTTTAAATATTACAGGGTAATCATATTAAATATTCTTTACTTATCATTTTGACATTTAAACAAAAAAAGGTCGTTATAAAATTCTTCTAAACTATCTGATATATTTTTGGCCAAACTGGATATTTTGGGCTAGGGGTGAGTTTGAGCATTAAAAATTCATGCAGCAAAACAATTTCAGATTTTTGAACCCCCCAACCTGGTCCAGAACTTTACAATTATATTATATAAATAAAATAAAACGAATATGATTCAACTCAAGGAAATTATTTAATCACATGACCCGTCAGATTTGACAAGTTATTAATAAAAATGATTAAATTTGATTAGAAACCATTTTAATATCTTAACAATAACAATCTTTTTAACCTTTAATACAAGACACTTGTCAATTACATAAGTTGGGTTACTTCAAATAAAACATATAGGTAAGTAATATTGTCTACATGAATATTTCGTCTGCTATATTAAAATCCATTTACAAAAAAATATTTTAAGAAAATAATAATATAAAATGGCTATGAGCCTTTGAGATTGTGCGTTTGTTAGTTATTATAAAAAATATAAATATTTACATATTAAAAATTTGGATATTGTTTGGAATTATTACCACTAATTAGCAAACCAGGCGATCAATATTTTTAATATTCGAACACCCGAAATATCCAAAATTTTCAGGAAGAAGGTTTTAGCAAAGTTTAATATTTTCCTTGCTATCCTCCAATAGTATGGTCTTAATTTGCCATTGTTTTTTTTATAATGTGATAATTGATATAATTATAATTCTCTTATGAATTAATAATTAAATTTATTTGTTAATGCGCAAGATATTCAACCAGATTTCACGGAGCTCATGAAAATTTTAGCCCCTTTAATTTTCGCCCCAGAAAATTTAATGATCAAAGAAATAAATGGCATCAAAATTACCGGGAAAGAACTTTTCGAGTATTTTAAAGTAAATATTTTATATATATTGTTATTTAAAAAAATAAAAATATATCATCTGTTGGAGTGAACTAATCGACCATTTTTTTGAAGTAAGAAAGAGACCAGGATTTGATTTATAACATTTTTTATATCAAAGTGACGGGCTTTAATTCTTTAGTGTAAAAAAAGGATCTATATATAATTAGACGTCACATTTCGATATTCGATAAATGGATCTTGCGCAATTTGAACCTTATTGGTCTGGTAACGACATCTCCCCTAATATTGAAAATTTAAAATAAAAAGTTACTCAAACGGATTTTTAAATTTTATTTTGTTGTTTTGAGGATAAATATATATGGTCGAAATAAATTATTATTCGGTCCAACATCGAAAAAGATTGACACCATCCATAACTGTATTGAAAAAGTTATCTATCTCTATGTTTTATTGACACTCAGGTTTAGGAGGACATCAATGGGTTTTCAACCGTAATTTATTCAACCTAATTATGAAAAAGAATTTTATTAAAAAATACTATTTGATGTTTTGAACACGTCCATTCAAATTCCAAGAGTGTTATCATTTCCTCCAGTAATTCCTCCAACTCCACCTCAATGACATCAACAAATGGTCATTCCTTTTGTTTAATTGCGTTCACAGCAGGGTTCGTTAAATTCACCGAGCTCTCTCGCAGTTGGATGAATTTCATACAATGGTTGCCCCTGGACTACACGAATTTACCCCAATTGCTGCCTCTTGTGTGGACAAATTTCCCTAATTTCTACCATGAGCCCTGATTGAGAGGGGTAGGGAGTTCCCTGAAATTTGTCAACCCACAGTAATAATCAGAGAGAGTGGAGTGAATTCAACTATCCCCCCCCCCCCCCAACAATTACTGGGATGAAATGATTACTATATTGGGAACTAATAAAAATAAATACAATTTAACAATAAAATCAATTTAATGTTTTGAACAATAATTGAAATCGCAATATTATAGGATATAAATGTATTCAGAGAAAAAAATATTCATTTTCAGCAAAATAGTTTTTTTAAAAATAATCAAAATTGATGGCTCATATGCATGTGAAATTAGTGAGGTCGAAGTTTTATTCTTTAGATCTTTAACATAATCTGATTGGATCGATTGACTGAACTGTCTCATTTATGAGGACAGCGGTTCAGACATGTCTGTCGGTTTCAATTAGCCAGTTTTTTTACTTACCCTTTATTATTTAAAAAATTTATAAAGAAATTTTGGAGATATACATTATTAGATCTCATAATTTCTTATATTATTTATAATCATTTCCCTGATAAATCTACTCTCTTTGGCATTTGTATGATTATAAATAAATAAATTTATATATATATTGGTTATTTGATGAACATATATATTTAATGGTTAAAAGTCTTTAAAAGTCTGAAATTAAAATATATCTAATTGTTAGTCGATAATTCACTCCAATAACGAGGTGGTGGCAATATCTTATATAAGAGTGCCACATTGGTATATTTAAGTGCAATTATTAGGCTACATTTCTGTCGAAAATAATATGAGAATCAAACATAATTATTAATACAAAATTTTATATAATGATTATGAAAAATCTCACTAAATTACACTTGCCCACTTCCGCTTGAAGTGGCTTAAAATATTTAGAAATATTTTTTTTTATTATAAATTATCTTGTTAGCTCGGTTTATGAAAAAAAAGCTATATTTACTAAATTATTATATTTTGAATACATTTTTTTTAGGCCTACATTAAAATTTACCAAGGTGATGAGCTCCCCGAGCCAAAAACCATGTTATTAGCAACAGCCGAAGCTAACAATCTCACCGCTTTGACTAATTCGAAGGATAGATACTCTCAATTGATGGACATAGTTTGAAAAAAATTATATTATTTATGAGTATTTAATCTTTACATGGTCTGGTAACATGAAAGGGGGATAGGATAGATATCTCACACAGAAGAGTTAACCTCAGTTAGAAAATATTATTGGAGGTAAGGGGTAATTCTAGGCGTGCTGCTAAAGAAAATTTTTCTCATGAATATGCTGCGTATAGGGTTTTTACCTTCAACATTCCTAGTGGTCTCTAGGGTAGGAGACTATTTTTTTCAATTATGATTGTTGTTGGAAGTGGTGAATAAAGAAAAATTTGAATAGGTTATTTGGATATATTAAATTGAAAAAAACGAATGTAAAGTGATTTGTTTTTTTGTTGTTAAAGAAAATTTTATTTTAGTAAGCAAATATAAAGTGAAATAATGAAAAGTATAATTTTATATTTAATTATTGTTTTTTTGTTGCTAAAGAAATTTTTTTTTGTGATTGATAATTTAAATTATAATAAATTTGTGTTAATTTTTGGATAATTAATTATTTAATTGTTATACATTAGTGCGATTATTTGGTAATCATTTAAAATACTGGTGCCGGATTAATTGAATATACCTTGAAAATATTCAGTTCTAAACTTCTTTAACAACAAAAAAATATATTATTAAATATAACATTATTCTTTTCTTTTATAACTTTACCATTGTACTTACGCCTGCCTTGAACTTATTTATACAGGTATGCGGTTCAGATCGCCCCTACGTCAATCCTGCCCTGGTTGAGAGAGAGGATGCCATAGACAGGCGCAAAGCCTTACTTCTCTTTAGGGGCACGAAAAAAATGGGAGGGCCCGAGTTCAGTCGCCACTTTGAAGAGAGACTTCAAACCGAGCTCAAAGATATGTATAATAATTACAGGAGGAATAATGAGGCCAAAAACTTATTTTCGGCCGGCAAGACTCCGATTGTTTTAGCCACCCTGTTGTCAGTATGCTATTTACTTTCATCTATCCTCGGAATCGTAGGGCTCACGGGCCTGGGTAAACTCGTAGGTTATGCATCAGGAATATTTCTCATTTTGCTTGTAGTATGGATCTATTCGCGATTATATGGTGGTTCCGGTTCCAACCTCAGAGTCACTTCATCAAATCCCAGCCCCTCTGATAACATATTGATAACCGAGAATAGAGAATTAAGTAATGCGAATGATAATAATGAACTTTATGCTGGCGTAGGTGGTATAGGGTTGAGCGAAGTGGCAACTGCTATTGACGCAATGGCTAACATAATATGGCAAACAGTATATTATATACTTATATTTATTTTGTTCCTTTTTATTTTGGTTGACTTAAGTTTTATTGCCACTAAAAAAATCCATAATATATATTATTAAAAAATATTTGGTGTAGTTTATCAAAATTAAAAGTTACAAAAAATAGGGGGAAATACCCCCATCTCCATTTATTAGAAAAATAAACCATTAAAATAGTTCTTGTTAAAGAGTAAAGATAAGAAGGCAAGTTTAAAATTGTTTAAATCTACGAGATGACCAATGTTCTTAATGGCTATTTTTTAAAATAAATTTTATGGTGATGAAATGTAACTATAATATCCGAGTTATGTGATATCCTAATGGTCATTTTTTTAATATAAAGGTTACTAATGTCGTTACCTTGAAAAAAATTAAGAAATAGATATCCGATTTTATTCTAGGCCTTGACTATTAACATTTTTTTGAAATAATTTTTAATTATTATTAAAAGGTATTTTGCGAGTGGTTCACGATGGTCATGCAACACCCCACGATTAATAGCACATTTTACCTACCTAACCCTCTTCAAAATTCCACTATTCACTCATCGTCTTCAACATCTAATCAACCATCTAAGACTTCTACACACGATCATTCTCATAAGAATTTTTCATCTACTAGTAAATCCGAAGCCAAACCATCGCAAATAAAACACCGAAATCCTAATTCCAACACGAAGAAACAAACGAATAGAAATAGTATAAATTAAATAAAAACGAGTAGCTTATTTTACAAAAAAATTATATTTAAGTCATTTTTAAGCACGCATTCATGATATTCTAACTAATTATTAGATTGTAAAGCTCCAAAGTTTATCAAAATTAAATATATATAATTTTATAAGGCATAATTCCTAGCAATTCGACTATTTTATATATTTTTGTAAAATCTTCCATTAAATTTACTGTGCATTATTTATTAGGAATAAAACATTTTGATATGTTAGGATTACTTATTTCAAAACTATATGATATGGTATAATATGCATACGAAATTATATAATGTAGTCATGCAATCACAATTTCTAAAACACAAATTATAATGTTTTTTTAAAAAATATTATTTCAAATTACTATTTTGTAATTATAAATAATTATTAGAATTCCATATGTACAAAACATTTAATTTCATATACCAAAATCTTTAAAATGCACAACTTTTATTTTAAATTTTATATTCAATATCATTGGACTAGCTTTGATATAAATTTAAATGTTATTTTATAACTAAAATATATAATTATATTATGATTTAAAAGTGAATATTAAATGCTTTGCAGGTTGTGGGGACCTTTAAAACAAGGATACAATGCAATGTCATCATTGAAATCTCGAAGGGGAAGCTAAATTAAGGGCATCTTATATTCATCATGCAGGGTCTCTTTTCTTAGGAACCAGATGGTTTGGCCTGCGGGTAGATGTTAAATCTACAAATTCCGTACTTCATAATTTATTTTTTATCTGGGAATCTCAAAAAAACATATCCAAATAGAATTTTTTTTAGGCTTACTAAGTAAGTAACAAGATTAATTTTTATTTCCGTATCTTGTAATAAAAATGGAATATCCAATGATGATACTTCATATTGAAATAAAGAATTTGAATCAATTGATATAGAAAAAGATTAAAGTCGGTTTGTTTTATATTATATTCATTATTACAGAGCAAAAGTATTTAGAAAAAAATTCTTTGATATATTGGCCTCTATCGTTTAAGTAATCGCATTAAATTCCTTGGTTTTGTACTCGGTTTTCTAAATGAGAACAGTGGCATAGGCAGTGACTTTCATTAAAGATCTACATTGAAATATTAAATGTACCTAATAACACTTTCCCTAAATTTATAATTTGTTAAATGGCATGGCTTCACTTCAGCTACCATTTTTAAAACGGATAAAATAAATAAAAACTCTTTATTTTCTAAACAAGCTAAATATTACTATTTGACAATTGAAGCATGCATATTTGCAAATCGTACAACTCACTTCTAAAAGGAAGATAGATTTTTGTTAATTTTTAATTTCTTGCTATAATCTGTTTTTTTTGTTCATTTAAATTTCATCTTTTTCCTTGTAGGGAGGGAGCTCCCTGATCGTCTGAAATTTCTCATTGAGAACTCGTTTAAGAATTAAAAATATCTAATCCATATAATGGACCGAAAATAATTGACGCGGTTTATGCGTAGAAATTAAATGTTAATGAATTGATTCCTTAAAAGAAATAATATTCATAAATTAATCTTTTACTATTACAATATTGACAATTCATTATTTAAATTAGTGATCTGCATCGGGCCTAATTTTTCAAGCCCGGCCCGGCCCGAAATTTTCTTAAAAAAGTTTGCCAGCCCTGCCCGAACCCGAGATTTTTTTAAAAAAAATTTACTGGCCCGGCCCGTTATTTAAATATAAAAATTAATTTTTATAATTACCAAAATAAAAGACATATGTTATATGTCGTTTAGTTTCAATAAATAAAATCAAATATTTTTATTTTACATAAAAAATTCAATATAAAATTGATAAATTTAGATATATTTAAAAAAATTTCCAAGGTCCGATCAGCCCGGCCCGAACCCAATTATTTTAAATAGAATTAGCTTAACTTTGCAGATCTTTAATTTAAATCTTCCCATGGATAGAAGTAAGCTGTTCCGCATTTTGTGGTTTGCATTTCTACTAATTGTCTATTTATCATTATATGAAAAATATTAATGTCATTTAATAGATGTGTAAACCACGAAATACCGCTACAGCTGACTCCTATGTATGGACAGGTTAATGATGCTTGGTACCTTAAGGTACCATCTATCAAATTTGAATTTTGTTCATTTTTCATTTGGATAGGCACTACCAAATATATTTATAATATATATTTGAAAAATCGTGATTTTTGGAAAGCCTCTATGGCCTAGTAGGCAAGAGCTTGGCTTACTTATCCTATGCTCCCGGGATATCCCGGGAATGATTATGTTTTTTTTCTTATTCTAACTTGGTGGTTCCATCCTTGGGGGAATGATATATAAAAGGCCGGACTCGACCACGTAATTCCGTATTAATATATTAAATAATAAGGGTCTTATTACATTTTAATAAATTTTGGTCGGTATTTAGCAAATTAGATTGGTATTTTAAATATTTCCATACATTCACTTGGTAGTAAGCATCATTAACCGTATGGACACTTAAATACAAGAATGAACTTAAAATATAAATTCATCATTACTTTTACCTAAAAAGATTTAGAGATAACTTCTTAAAATTTATTTAAGAATGCTTAAAAGTTTTCAAAGGTATGAATTAAAATGGCCTTAAAAAATCCTCAGCTGCTAAATCTTAATCGCATTTACATTGTGATATATATATAAAGAGTTAATCAAATTATACATGAAAAAATTATTTAAGTAGGAATCACAAATCATTATGTAAGTATATAATTTCTTCAGTTTTTAAAAATATATTGTGGGATAGAGAATAAAGACCATTTTCCTGAATCAGTTGTCCAAATGTCTATATGGACATAGCTGTCTAGAAGCTCCTGGTTTTGGATTATTTATAACATTTCGCTGGATAACTTATTCATCTTTTTTGTCGGTAATAATTCAAAGGCATATGTTTAAGAATATGTCCAAAATCTAATAATTTTAGTTAGAAGGGGAATATTTTTGGTTCACCAATTAAGTTCAAAGAATAGAAAGGGCCAGGCAATACCTTAAATATAACACAAGAATTTTATTCCCCTTTAATTTTTAAACTGATAATTAAATCTCAAGAATATTATATTTATTTATAAATTTACAATTCCTTAAAATAAGATAAAGCAAATATAAGTAATGTGGAAAGGATGGTTATTATTGATATTATGGAAAGGTCAGTCATTGAAACTATAGGAAATTTTTAATATATTTTTTTAAATAAAAATAATAAATATGTGATCAATAATAATTATGTGATCGTATGGCTTGGCGAAAATTTTTTGATATGATAATAATTCAAAGTTTCATGAAAATTTTCACAATTCTATAATTTTACATTAAAAATGGTTTATATTTTTTTTCCTGTTGAATTCGCCTATTTTTCGAGATTTATATTTATATAATTAGGATATAGTCTAAAATATATTTTTTTAAGCAATTTATTTGAATAAACCTAATATATAAACAATAATAATATAGATAGATATAATTTAAAGGAAAAACAAAAATAATTCTATATAAATTTATATCATTTAAAAATTTTTTTTTTTCTTTTTAGCTTCCACCTTTTTGGCGGTAAGCTCATTCAATATTTCTCTCCGCTTTATTACTCATGCTATCTATTTTTATCTAATTTATATTTCTGATCGATTCTATTTGGATCTCCCACCGGAATATCGCTATCAAGGCCCATAAACTCTCAAAATGTTGAGTTGTTATATATAAAAAAATATTATACGTCAAATTAAATAAATATTTTAAAAAACAATATTAAAAATTTCCCCTAGTTTCAGTGACTTACCTAAGGAAATATATGTTCGAATATATCATATTATTTTATTTGTATATTATGAATTAGTTTTTTCGTCAATTATATATATTTAATTATGTAATTTCCGGATCTATATATAGTGTTATAGCTGCATAAATGAATGTTGTATGAATATCTCAAATATTATATTGGCGCAGTCATGTATGTAAATGTAAGTATGAATTTAATCTAATTTATGGAGGGGGGTTTGCCTCAATCAAATTTTCAGCAATGTAGACGCTGATTGGCGACGACGAGACAAAGAATCTGTAATATGAATCTATTGGATGTTTTATGAAATAAATTATGAGGAATGATTGAAAAATGTCATAATAAGTATGAACTATTTTGTAAATGTGATATTAGTTTGAGCAATATGATATATTGGATATCTATGAAATTAAATTTTGGATAAAGACAAAATTATGGTTGATAATGAACTTAATTTGGAAAACATATAATGGATTGTGAATGAATTAGGATTATGAAATCGAATAATTAATTATATCTGATGTAACATGGAAAAAATAATAAATTATTATAATTACTGACAAAGAAAAATTGACTGATGAAAGTAATGTATATCTATTATCGAAATATGGTGATCTTTTGAAATTGGTTAACAGTATGACCTTGAAAAATTGAGATATTAAAATTTTACTGAATAAAGGAAAACATGGGTTTATTAATGATAGAGTGGCAATTACATCGGGATTGAGTTTATAAATTATGATTATTCAACTATGGTAATATAGACATTTGCAAAATGGGTTATGATACTGGCAAATTTTGATGTAAAGATATTAGAACGTTTGGCTCTAAAATCATGTGACCTATACAAAAAATGGGACTTCCGTGAGCCAGATGTTGCCCTATTTGGGTTAAAAAATATATGATGACTTTTTATGCGATGTAGAGATAAGGATTACCTGAAAGGCCATCCAAGAATGATAGCGATCCAGTTCTAGGACAGCGGTGACCTCGTGGGCCGTTCAAACATAATAAAGACCATTTCAAGTACACAATGGCTAAAATTTAGTTTGATGGGAAACTAATATAAAATTTTAAATAAAAGATATAGTATAGCATTATATAAGACTTACTAAAAAAATTCATAAGATCAAACTCTTACTTTTAATATACTTAAGAGAGTGACCATTTAAAATGATAGTCTTTTCTAAAATTGTTAAGAAACACTATGTCATAAGTATATTTAAGATCTTGTAATATAAAATGTGGTGGGTGAATAGGTTTTTAGGGGCACTTTACTTTTGCTTACAATACATAGATTATGATGAGATGCATTGTCAACCAATGACATATAATATACCTAGACTGACGATTCATTTATTAAAAGTGTACATCAATGCAAATCAGCTGGGGACGACATCTTGGTTACAGTAATTATTATTAAAATTTTAAACGAGAGCCTAATTTATTCGTATATCTGATGCAAGCTTTATTAAAGAATTAAATGTTTAATTTCAAAAAATTAGAAAATATACAGTAGTTTTTAACATGAAAATAATTATTATAGGTTACCAAAATGGTGGGTCCAGCTGATTAGCTTTTGACGACGCTTTATTATTCATTTTAATGAATGAATCGTCAGTCTAGGTATATTATATGTCATTGTTGTCAACCCATGAAGTGGATAAAAGGTCTAGGCTCTCATAATTATTTTTTTTTGCGTGAGTTCGAAATTCAAAAAATATAGGGTGAATTCCCTTTCTCACTCTAAGGGTACCTATGATGGTTATTTATAACAATAGATAATTTATCACATATCTTATAAATTTATATTGAAATAAATAACTAACATATAATATGAGTTTCCATCCATTTACCATATGATTACAAAGTTATAAAAAAAATTTCGTATCGCTAATAAAAATAATAATGAAAATAAAACATGAGGATAATATTAATGATTTTAGATTATCCTCACCTGATATGCATACCTCATATTCTATGATAGAATTTTTATCTGGGGCAGCTGCATCATTTACAAATGTAATTATAACTTATCCAATATCAAAAATAGTATTTAGACAAATGTTACATGGAATTCATGTGTCTCCTGCAATTAAACAGATTAAATATGAGGGCCTCTCATCTCTTTATCGTGGAATTTTACCCCCTATAATTCAAAAAACTGCCTCAATTTCTTTAATGTTTGGGGCCTATGATGCTTTTTTAAAACTATTTTTACCCTCTTCATCATTAAATTATCATTTGTCACATAAAAATCCTACATATATAAAAAATGATTCATCTATCAGTTTGCAAAAACATTTAGATGAAAAAATTAATCAGAAACCTCAAGGTATCAATAGCTTAAATTCATTTAACATCATGAACTGTAATTATAAAAACAAAAAAGACATAAAATGGTATAATCTAATTTCCAATCCATTTCCCAGTGATCAAATAGATTTAAGGATAATATACCCTTCAATTCAAGAACTAAACCATGATGAAAATTCCTTTATAAAAAATAAATTTACGAATAACCAACTTATTCCAGTTAATGATACACAATCCATTGATAATTCCATAGACAATTATAAGGATAACAAACTATTAATTTTAGTAGCATCAACTGCTGCAGGTGCATTGGAAGCTTTTGCATTTACTCCTTTAGAGAGAGTTCAAACATTGTTACAACACAGTACTTTGCAAATTGAATTTTGTAATACTCCTTCAGCATTTTATAAATTATGGACTCGTTATGGCATGGCAGAATTATATCGTGGTTTTTCTCCTATTCTATGGAGAAATGGACCATCCACTGCTGCTTTTTTTGAATTTCGTTTGCCTCTGAGGGATTTTATATCAAAAACTGTAGAATCTTTTAAATTTAGTAAAATTAAGGCCAATGAAGTCACAAATTTATCAATAAATAAATTACAAAAAATTGATAATGCTCATCACTATGTTGAAGCTTTTAGTAATTTTCTTAGTGGTGCATTATTGGGGGGCACAATTAGCACCATTTTTTATCCTTTAAATGTAGTTCGAACTCGAATGCAGTCCATTGTTGGGGAAAAGTATTTAAACATGTATCACACCTTTGCCATTATTTACAAGGAGAGAAACTCTAAAATTTCTTCTTTCTTCTATGGAGCAAGATTTAATTTCAGTAGATCTCTCATTTCATGGGGAATCATAAACTTTAGTTATGAGATCTACAAAAAGCTATTGAGGAAACACATTTAAGTTCATTAAATTTTAATATTCCCTTCAGCTTATCTTAATTAATATGATGAACGACTAAACATCAAGTGCAATTATTTCATCCTAAATCACTAAAAATAATAATATGCATCTATTGTGTCTATTTTTGACCACATTTTGAGTGCACTTCCTTCACAGTAGTCAATTATTTTATATAAATCTTAAATTCAATAAAACAATATTTGTAAAGCTCAATTGATTATTTATTGATGAAAATATATGTACATTCTTATTCTATTCTTTATTTATTTTTTCTACTATTACATTTTGGTTTACTTAGTAATTCATTTCAACAATATCATAAAATAAAAGATGTTTAATAGTTCAAAGTTGTTTTAATAAAATTTACTGAGAGTCAGTTATTTAAAATAATTTTTTTTAAGATCTTATTTTAGTTTTAAGCTCATAAATTTTTATAAATCTTAACCTTCTTTATTGATGATTTGCTATATTCTTTGAACCAATGTGATAAAAATAATCAATACTTTCTATTTAAAAAAAAATCTAATTAACTTTCATGATTTAGTAAGTGTATTTTATTTTTTTTCACCAAAAATCAATTCTCTTTTTTAAATGTGCAAAGTTTATGGCTACATGCAATGCAGTGTTATTATGTGGCTATGAATTGGTGTATTCCTAAAAGCAGGTAAATCAAAGATTTTAGTCTAAATATTATTAACTAAGCCTAGAAATATTCGATAATAGATATCTTAACATTTCTGTCATCTGTAGGCAAAGTTCTGAAGCTTGTATGCATTATTTTTTAGCTAAAATATTAAGTTAGCGGTTTTTTTAAAAATGGGATAAATCAAGTTGTTTAGCAATAGACAAATATGACTCGTCAAATAGTTTTCAAATCCATTTCTTTTGCAGATAACATAATTTTTTAAAAAAACGATTTTTAGGTAATTGACCTTATAATTTCATTTTTGTTTAAAACATTATAAATAAATTGAATTTTGGTTCCTTTACTTATAGTGTTAAATGATTTCGGTCTTAAAAATGGTCCGATTAACATTTTAAAAAAATATTATGTAAGAAATTTGGAAAATAGAGGTTCAGTTTATGCTATCCATGAGCAAATCTCGTGGATTATACTATATTTTTTTAAGTAGACCGTTTTTAAAAACCTACCCATTTAACATTACTTAATAATAATATTATTATAAATTTATAAAATAACCAAAATCAATATATAAAAAATATTACAGACATTAAAGCAATTAATTTATAAAACGGTTGTTTATAGAAATAGATAGCCATAGAGTAGAGATACTAGCAATAGGAGGGTGAAGGGAAAATATAAAAATAACCCAACTCAAGGAAATTTTTTGATTGGGTGTATCATTAAATTATTTTTCTGGCATCCCGATATACAAAGTTAAACAGGTAAGTGGGCTTAGGTGTTAGAAAGATATGGGTTGGGTTAAATAAAGGTTTAAGAGGGTATTGTAAAGATTGTTCAAAATCAAATCATTTTTATTAAACAACTTGTCAAATCTGATAGCTCATGTGATTAGAAGTAATTTCCTTAAATTGGACGGTAATCTGGTAATTTATTATAGACATTAAAAATGTAAAAGTCAGTAAATTTATACAAAAAAAATTCTAACGAGCCGGACGTAAAATTTAAAAAGAGCCGAGACTAAATCTTCCTTAAAATTTTAACGGGCCTTGTTTAAGAATCTTTAAATTTTTTTTTATAAGACTCAGACAAACATTTAGATAATGGACCGGAAAATTTGCGCTAAAAACTTAATGGGCTGAGTTTTGCAGATCTTTCAAAGGAAACAAATTATTTTTAAAATTCTAATATAATCTAGAAAAATAAAAAGTATATCTAGTTTATATTCCAAAATAAATACCAAATAATAAAAATATCATATTTTTTTTATCCTTTCACAATATCATTTTTCATTTTATTTATTCTTATCTTATCTAGCACGTTGGTCATAGACCTGCCCAAAATGAGCGAACGTAAATTTTATGAAGGCCCACCCTTCATAAAATTATGCCGATTTTTTTTCTCAAGGATACCGACAAACCTTGTACCCAGTTGTAGTTTAACTAAATGAGTGGAACTTATCCTTTCCGATATTGTAATTGTAATTTAATAATTAATTATAAAAAGGCATATATCTTATCTGTTTTTTTTGTCTTGAATAGTTATGTTCATGATAAGGAGTGAGTTAAGAATATTTGAATCCATAGACATGAAAATTTTATTTCATTTGTTAGGTTATATTCTTCCAAAAGATGAACCGGAAAATCTTCGCCATTTGGGATGAATTACTGATCGAAACATTTTAATTTAAAAAAAAGAGAGGTATATTATAACTATCCATTTTATTTATTAATAAACAGTGAAATAAATAATTTATTTGAATTATCTAATGTAAGTTTTTGTTATGTCGTTGAATTCTCCGTCGGGTGAGTCATAATTTTCGAATGGAGGCGAGTTTGTAGGGCCTTCAAGAGTTGCTGGAAGAACATTTTCATTCAGCTATATATATTTTTTTTTATAATTTAAGTTTTACAAAATGTGGCGTCTCACTTAAATTCGTAACTATAAAAAAAACTCTTTACTCCTATACCCAAAGTTAATTTACTTTTCGTGGACAATAATGTAATATGATGCACATATTGAATTCATAACGAATGGCTTATTTTATATTGTAATGGATGTGTTGAACAAAATTTATTTAAAAAAAAATATATATAATTAATGCCAACCGATAAAGTAGAACCCCTAAAAAAATATATCAAAATATGCCTACTTAGTAGATGTCATGCAAATTTCCAGATTTTGTTTGATTATTGGTTAGTTAAGCGGTCGACATTTAACATATTTTTATATTAATATTGACATCAATATGTGTTTAGCTGGGTAAATGTAAAAGAAAAAAAATGAGGAAATTTTCATTTATTAGTTTTTGAAACAATATTAGAATATTAATACTATATTTGTAAACAGATGTCCACAAAATGGATTTTTTTCTTAAGTAAATTAACTTTATAGGATATAATAGCTTTAAATATATTGTCTACTTTTCATAAATATGAAAACATATAAATAATATAGGGATGCAACGATATTTTACGTTTTTTAAAATATTGGTCGTCAGCTGATATTATAAAATTTTCCGATCCGATAAAATGGCGTCTTAATTTTTTAAAAAATTAGCCTAAATAATCTTTATATTTGTTTATTATTAATTATGTAAATGGATTAAGGATATTATATAAATAAGTTATTTATCAATAAAAATATTTATAATACTTTTAGATTCATGAATAAAACTATAACTGATTATTATAATATATTTAAATGACTTATGCTATGGTATAGTTAAATTATAGATCTTATACTATTAAAAAGTATATGAGATGAGTAGATGTATGTAGTGATGCAAAATAGCTCCATTTGAGCCAATTTATAAAAACGGCTATAATATTTTACCCAGAAAAATATTGCGTAAGCTTCGAGATTTCGCTAATAGTGCAAAACCTTGTGCCATCTATGATAAAAATCTTCAGGCTTGTGCAATTTATAAAATCAATCAAAATTTGCAGTTTTTAAAATTGGATCAAATATATCGACTTTGCAACACTAGATGTATGCATTAAAAATTAAAACCATTAATATGTTTAGAGAATACAAAACAAGATATAATATAGGATCGGTCGATATCAATTTAACATAGGAAATATCAGATCCGCCTCCAAAAAGTGGTATCGGTAGCGGTACAACCTTAATATAGATAATAGATTTATGTTTATTATATATAGAAAATTTAGAACATTTCTACAATGGAAATTTTTTTATAAATATATTAGTCTTTTTGTTTAGAAATACTATTTAATCAGCAGAATAATGTCTTTGTGTATATATCTTCATGGATTTTGAGACATGTCTGTCAAAATTGAAATATATGTTGCTAACTTAAAAACAATAGGTATATATATTAAATAATTTTTGTTTAGATCCTAGAAAAACTTCAATCAATAAATTGATTAAAAAGTATATTAGATTAAAATTTAAACCTAAATATTTTGCGATTTCCAACTTCCAAAAGCTAATCTAGCACTGATTTTTTTTTATATTAAATCGAAATCATGGTAAATATGTATTTAACGCTCAAGTATTTAATCGAATTACATTTTAATTATTTGAAGAAAACTAAGGATAAGGTTTTCCAAAATCAATAAGATCAGGGACTTAAGTTTTTCTTGTATTATGAATAATATGGGTGGGCCAAGAAAAAAAATAAATATTGGACAAAACATGCACTTTTTAAAAATATGCTGATGCTATTTGTTTACTGAATGCGAAAAATTAACTATTGGATAAGCCATTCCTGTATTAATGTTTTGATAATGTTAGAAATTTTGCTTCCATTGTATTATACGTTATGATGAACATTTAACCATTTATTACTATCGTAATTTTCGCAATTTATAATTATCGTAATTTATTTTCAAAAATAATCGATATTTTTTTTTGTTGATTAAAAAAATATAATATTGTATTATTATTATTTTTTAAAAAGTTGTTGAAAAAAGTTAATATTTTTTTTTGGGATTAAAAAAATAAAAAAAAAACTAAAAAAAAGAAAGATATAGTCATCAAGAATTATTTTTTTTACTAAAAATACAAAGTGTATTAAAGAAAAAGTAAGATTTTTTTTTGGGGTTGAATAAGAAAGATAGTTGGAATCTATTCAAAGTGTTGATCGTTAATAAAAGTGAGAAATACCAACTGTTGATCGTTTTTGAAAGTGAGAAATACTACATTGGAATCTATTTAAAGTGTTGATCATTAATAAAAGTGAGAAATATAAAGTGTTGATCGTTTTTGAAAGTGAGAAATACTACATTGGAATCTATTTAAAGTGTTGATCGTTAATAAAAGTGAGAAATATAAAGTGTTGATCTTTTTAAAAATTGAGAATTATCACAATTACAAAATGAATTATTTGGATAATAAGGTATCATATAATAATAATAATGCATTTTTAACCATATTCTAAAATTTGGTGGGTCCACATAAAAATTTAACGATTTTGCAATAGTAAGTAATGTGGTTAGAAAATTTATTTCAATAATATGTACAATGATCTAAAGAATCATTTATACTTTTATTTGTTTTAACATCTTTCAAAAAATAAAAAAATTTCAAAAAAGATACAAATAAAAGGACAAAAGGACCATTTTTCGAATACTTAAATGTGAAATATAACATTGCTCTATAAAAAAGGTATTGTAGTGGCAAAAGCAAAAAAATTATTAAATGTAAAAGGAAAGAAGAAAAAAATTGTGGTATTCTGGAAAATAATATTTAATAAATTTTAACAAATTTGTGAGTTAAACCAGCCCAAGTTAAGATAGATATAGAATCAGTCCATGTATGGATGCACTTATAAGATGTTTATTTTTTACTTTACATAGTGAGATTATAATATTTTTAGTTTATATTTTATTTACTTTGCAAAAAATAATTAAAATAAAAATCTTTCAAAATCATTTGTTCAAATGAATAATGTACAAGATGTAAGGCAAAGGGACAAATAAAAAAGTCCCATGGATAAAAAATAAAATATTACTAGTATAAATTTACATTATGAACTGACTTTTGAAAAAATAGTATCAATCATGACAGAAACATAAAACCCTCTAACATAGAAGGGATAAATTAATGATATGAATATCGTATATATATATATATAGTCAGTATTGGATCAGTATCATAGGCTCAAGGAAAGGGGAAGGCTCTGCAGATAGACCTATTTGTGCCATTATTTATAAAATGAAATATTTAAAAAATCAGTCATAAAATTAGTCATTAAATGATAGAGGATAATGAGTAATCAGAGTAAAAAATGCTCTTCAAAATTAAAATCTTTAAAAAATTGAAGATTTTTTTAAGAATTGTGATTTCTATGCAGGGAAAAATTTTTTATGGTAAAATCACAATTCTTTTGGTTTCTTTAATTTTATTAACTACAAAGATTGCTCAAAATCAGCTAGTAATAAAAAAATTATATATTTTAGAAAAATAATCATAAGCGATAATAATAATTTTGCAAGAAATTGTAATATTAATCATAAGATAATAGAAAAATTTGAAACTAAGATAATAAACCTTAATAAAACAATGCCTATGCAAATCATGATAGAAAGAATAAAAAAAATAGATAAATTTACTTTAATTGCTTCATTATATAAATCTAGTGATTCATTTTTAAGTTCCATCAAAGCCCTTTCTTGGGATAATAACAACTTTTGACATGATTCCATAAATTGTTTGCTTTGTTTAGTTTTATATCTTGTCCATTCTTTCTGTAATAATGCACGTTCTGTTATTTCCTTACCTTCTAATATAGGAACAAGTCTTTCCCTTATTCTTAAAAATATTTAAATCACTACATAAGATATTAACATTTATCACTTGAGTTCTCTAAGAAACTTAGGTTCAGGCTCACATTCAATTAAAGGTTTTAATATTTTTCCACGCTTTTCTAAAATTCTTACAGCTTTTTCTAATCTTTTCTTTTTTCTATCTTCTCTTAGTTTGAGTAAGCCTGGATCGATCCTTTTTTTCTTTTTTAATGGTTCTGCACTATATTTTAATTATATTTTATACTCAATATTAATATACTAAAGGGTTTCAGTAATTTTATAGTGATGAATAATTCCAGTATAAATGTTTCTATTACATATTTGAGGTATATAGTTGTATAAAAAATTATTAAAAAATATTTTTCCAATTGAATTTTGTAAAAAATTCATAGATGAGTTAATGCAACAAGTTTAGTAATTTACTAAACAACGACCGTTAAAAAAAAATAATATGAACCTTTCTCAACGTCTGACCTGAACAAATCATTTTCACCTTAATGATAACCTCGTCTAAGGGGTTAGTTTAAGAAAAAACATTAGTTTCACTGTCAACAATGGATTACTCTCATCATATCAGACTTCCTCAGTCCATATCTGTAACCCTTTGAACCATTGACATTGAAAATAGTAATTATTTTTATAATGCTAAATCAACAATATATGTTGAGCTAGCCTTAGGCATAGACATATAAAATCTAGATCTTTTTTAGGACATATATCTGAATATGTATTCAGTTAGATTTAACCCAGGCTGGGCCAGGCCTATTTTTTTTTAAGAAATACCCAGAGTAGGGCGAATATTTTAAATCGCCATTATCTATAAAGTAAATATTATATAATTTTAAAAAATCCAAGTCGGGCTATGGAATTGTTACCTCGGCAGGTTTCTGATTTAAATTCTTATAATATTTTAAAAATTTTAGCTTAAATATATGACATTAATAATTTATCATATATTAGGAATTTTAACAAGTGACTAATGATTAAAATGCCATATCTCCTACTGTGCTCGGCCTAATTTGAAATTTTTCATATTAATTAATTCTGTAGCTATTCATAAAAAATTTAAGAAAAATAAAAGCCGATTAGATTTTGCACCCATTTCGGGTTTTTCACATTTAAAACAGTCTATATAAAGAAATTTAAATTCATTTTAGCTCAATTATATCCATACTATTTTAAAACTCAAGGATGTGAATTTTGCTCAAAATGCCTATCGACCTTTAGAGGCCCGTATCTCAGCCACTGTTTGAAAGCTAAAATTTTATTATTTTTCTTTATAATATACGCTCTGGTAAAAATTTGACGGAGGAGGGGCGGATTGAAATTCGTGTTGTTTTTATTGGGATTCACCATATATTTATCATTTAATTTATTTTAATAAATATAACTTTTATAAATATAATTTTTTCAAAAAAAAACACAAACTATATGGCTGATCCTGGATCGACTTATTTCTGTGTAGCCCAGACTAAACAGCGTTTAATTAGGAACTCCATTTTATTTTGTCTTTAAGTGTTTGATGACATTGTTAATTTTCATATTTTTCTTCCACTTATTTTTACTTAGTTTAGGAGCCTAAATATAGACGACTTAACAGCCAGATGTTTAGTAATAAGCCGAACTACGTACTCTATGAAATTATTCTTTCCATATCAAGATAAAAAACATAGTACAACTATTTATAATTTCTTGTCACATTTTATCAATGATAATAAAAACTATTTTAATTTATATTAAAATTTTTTTTAAATAGTTTACTTATATTCACATTCAAATGTTTAGGTATTTTGAATGTAAGAAAATAAATTTATTATTTAAAATAATTAATTCTAAAAAAATAAAAGTAAGTTTAAAAATATATTATCGTATAAAATAATATATTTTGATATCTTTGAATTTATATAATATAATAATCATATAAATTTGTTCTAATTTTTGCGAACAAAAAAGGCTGTTATAATTCATCTTAAAACACTAATATCGTTTGAAAACAAAGAGTCGCAGGAACTATGATTGAACCTAGGGCTTCGTCTAACGGAATCTTTGCTCATAAAATTATTCTTAAGGGTAGTAGAAAATTCTTCGGGTGGAGTCATGTATTTAGTCTGATTACAATCTATCACATTTTTGTTGTGGTTAGTGTTATGTGATTTGGGCTTAGGCACGCCATTATATCGGGTAAATAATGCAACATTCTTATATGAGGGAGGAGATATAAGTTTTTTTCTCATGTGCTTTTTGTTGTTTATAAGTGAAGGTAGTTTTGGGGGGATAAATGATCTTGGTAAAGAAAGGTGGTTAAAGTGCGGAAGGCAATCACTTTTTATGTCTTTCTTGTTTAAAAAAAATAAATAAAGGATGTAAGGAGTACAATACAATAAGTTTTTTATGTAACGATGATAAAAATACTTATCTTATAGATACATTCTTAAAAATAAATCTTAGCTAAAATTATTTTTTTAAAAAAAACCATAGAATTTTGTGAATTACATTACATTGAAACCTATTCATTGTATTAATAAAAGGTTCGCAACTTTTTTGCGGGTATTAAAAGTATGATCTCAAAAGAAAAACATATAAATAATATCAGACTTTTATTAGGAGGGATTCTAGATGTTGAAGGAGCCCCACCACCAAAATTAGAGTCTTCGGATAATTCATCCGTTTCACTATTTGACGATGATTTAGACAATATCAAAGGTCTTTTATGGCTATTTAAATTTTTTTTAAAAATAAAAGATATAAAAATTATATGATTAAATATTATATTTTTTACTAAATATATTACATTACCCCATGTCCTAATTGAAGCGTAAGAGTATTTTAATATTAATTTCCATGGGTGATTTTGAGATTAACGTTTAAAAAAACACTCCAAATTAGGACACAGAATTAGGCCTAAAACGAATTATTTGTTATTTGATATTCGATTCAATTCGATTCGTATTTTACGAATACGAATAACACAATTATTCGATTCGAAATTTCGAATCGAATATGAATAATGAGGAAAATTATTCGTATTATTCTAAATTATTTATATATAAATATTCGTAATTATTCGCAAATATTTTATTGCAAGTAAAATAAAAAGAAGTAATTAAATTTTCCTAGTGGATATCATTTCGTTTTATTTTATTTTATTTCCTATTATCAAATATCAAATCATAACAAGTTATATTTGCTGAAAAAGTTTAATGGAAGAAAAGGAAAAGCTTCAAAGTAAAATATAATTATTTAATTGTTTCTCTTTAATAATTTTTGATGTTATGAACAAGTCAAAACATTTTTATAGAGTGTGCCTCTTTCCCATATTCTCGAGCTCCTGGCAGATAAATAACTAAATTTTTTTGACTAGTTCTTATTATTTGATAAGGAAAATCCTTTTCCCATTTAGTAACCTTATTTTTGGCAAATTTTAAAGACAATCTAATTCAGATAGTGCATTATAATATCTTCATCCTCTATTACATTGTCATTATCACCTCTAAAAATTATATTAATAATTAAATAAAGGAAATTTATGCTACTAAAGTATTTTTAATAAATAAAATCTATAATGAAATACTTTCTAAAATTTTGTTATATTTTATATGCAAAAATGACAATTAGTTTGGAGAATCCTTAAAAGTGTCATCTTTAAACATCTGTAAAAATTTTTTTGCAAAATATTTTATAAGCTTTAGAAAAATTTTCGAATCGAATATTCGACGAATCGAAACGAATAATGATTTTATTATTCGTACGAATACGAATAGCGCAATTATTCGATTCGTTTTTTTGTAGGCCTACACAGAATTAGACGCTTTTTATGTAAAATAAAAATTAAGATAACTTTAATTTTGGTTCATTTTTAACTATGACATGTGGAACAGTTGATTTACCAGGTTTGGCGTAGGGTATCTTAACGACAGTAGGAGGTTTCTTGAAGTTTTCAACTTGAACTAAATAATACATTTTTATTAAATGTATGTAATGTAATTGTTACTAATAAATGTACAAAGAGTAAGTATAATAATTAATTATTTTGGGGGAATTTTATTTAAAATGTTAAACTTAAACGATGAGTTTGAGCATTTGCCCACATTAATTTTTTTTTTAAATCCTTTTGCTCAAATTAAAAAAATAAACAAAGAAGAAATTTGAAAAAATTCATTGCATGATAATAATTAATAAATGAATGAGGAAAACTTGAAGAATTAGAAGGCCGAAAAAAGTCGTCTTTGTAGTTTATTTTAAATGTTTGCTTCAGAGTCGCGTTGAAAATATCTTCTCTTAAAAGTTCGTAATCTGGCATCTCCTCGTATTTCAAGCGATTGAAGTATTGAAAGTATTTTTGAATTTCAACTGGCAGAAAAAGTATTATAAGTTGGGAAAAAAAATCGAGTTTAAGAATTATAAATTTACATGTAAATGCTTTTTTTTAAACAAGATTAAATTATAAATATTATACTAATAAGCCCTAAGATCTAAATTCCTTATAGTAATGGTACTAGTACCTATGGATTAATAATGTGGAGGAAAATAGGGCTCTGGCTGAGATACGAAGTACTGGAATTCATTTACTTAAAAAGTTTTATAAATTAATTAGTCACGGTTTAGTCAAACTTGATATACCAAACTTATTTAATATTTCCATAAACAGTGACATAAAAATATATAAGTGCTAGTGAACGCCTGATTATTGCATGGTATTTATAACGTGTAATGAAGCTAAATCAAAGAGGACTGATATTTCGGAATGCTATGTTTATATTGTGTGGAAGAGAAAGCAAATAGAATTTCTATTTAAAGGCATTAAGAGTATAGAAAGTCATTTAAATGTATCAGATGAGCTAGTAAAAAATTTCATTACTGAAGTCGTGAGGGTTACTGATGGATAATGGCCGTGAGACTAGGTTATGATGAGAAAAGTTGTTTGCCTATGCTCCATAACTAAGAAAAAAAAGTTGAAACTGCATAAAATAATATGGAAGTTAGAAAATTATTACCTAATATAAATTGCTAAATTTGATACAAATACATTAATTTATTAAAAAGAGGATCATAATGAAACGTTCTTAGTTACCGGGAAAATATATTAAATGGAATTATTGTTCAAGCTTGGCTTAAACTGGACTTTAAAGTCAGTAAGTGTCGTAACGACAAACTTTTCCGTTTATCATCATGAATGAACATTATGCGATTATATTATTTATTTTTAGTTGTATCGCGTTAATATTTAAAATTTTTAGATTATAAATTTTGAATTTGAAGTAATTAGGTGTTGCAATTTTTTTAGTTATTTTTATTTTATATTATTTTTAGTGAATTTCGGCATGATTTTGGGAAATTATAATTTTAATTAATGTATTTTTAACTTGTTTTTTTATATATTATTTTTTTACAAGTTTTTCGTTTTTTGTTATAAAAATTTATATTGGAAATTCATTGTTTTATTCGTATTTTGAGGAACAATATTTTGAGGGAAAGAGGCGGACACCATAATAATAAGTATGCCTTAACCCATGAGTACATGCCATAAAATTTACGACACGATTAAACTGGCAATGGTAACTAGATAGATTTGATAGAGACTTGGGACATCTTATAAGGAATAAAACTAATCATATCTTTTCTTTGACAGACATAAAAATATTCCAGACCTGAAAGTAACGAACTTAAAAAATTGTATTAAATCTATCTACCCCCCCCCCCCCCCAAATCCCAGTATCCATGGATGACTCCAAGGCTTAAAATGATGCTTACGGCTAGGAGAAGAAAATAAGATCATATAAAATTGGAAATAGATGAAGGATGGGGCGTATGTTAAGATGAGCGCAGGAGGAAGCGAAAGAGGATGTAGTTAATAAAAGAGAGCATCCCACCTTCCCAAACTAGGCGTTTAAATCTACTTACAATTGAGATGGTAAAATAGAAAGATGATGGTGATGCCCTCCGAGGTCAAATAACATCTTCATTGGTGAAAGATATTTAACAGACCATTGTGGAATAAAGGATTTGGCAAGGATATTGAATGAATATGATAGCAAATGAAGATATGCCGAGAGATAAACATAATAAAAATAGAAGTGTATTAGAAAAATCTAAATCAATAAATAAAGTAAAGCAAATATAGATAAATAGCTATCAATTAAAATTATAAAAAAATATATAATTTATTCTAACCAGGAAATGGATTATTTTTAAAACAGGCTTTCATCAACAATGGTATATTTTTGAGATATCTAAGTGATTGGGGAAGAAAAAAAATTAATTATAAGGATATATTTTTTTTATAGAATTGACCATAATCAAATTGAAAAAAAGCTTTTACTTGATTTTTTCTTTCATAACTAATTCTGGATTGTTTGTGAAGGTATTGGTTTCCCAAGGCAGTTTCCCTACACTCCATCTTAACAAATTGTAGCCTAAAACTTCCAAGTCTGATCTTCTTGAAGGTTCTATATATTTATTTATTATAAGATTATATATTTTTCTTCGTCTCATTTACTCTATCGTTTATTCATTCTTTAGAAATGTATAAAAATAATATAACCTGTACCATTGTGGGCATCGATACTAGTAAACTCTACGGTTCCATCGTGACCTTTCTTATTATCGATTTTAAAAGTTTTGTGTTTTTCGCCTTCAAACTTGTATTTTGACACCAAGCCATAGTCTAACAAAAATATCTTTCAATTTAAAAAAAAACAACATTTTATTTATAAAAAAAATAAAATTCAGATTTATAAAAAAATATAGGAACAAATAAAATACTTGATGTAAATGTGATTTGCTAATTCCAGGAACAATGTTCGAGGCTTTAATGTCAGAATGAACATACCCCTTTTCGTGAATGTATTGGAGAGCATAAAGCTAGGTATAAAAATATAATTCATAAATTATTATAGTTAGTTTAAAAAAAATAACTAAAGTATTACCAATCTGATCGCTATATGACATATCATAGACCTTAAGTTAGCATTACACTTGTTGTGAACATTGGGATTAAAAATGGTCTTCTCCAAATCTGGTCCAAATCTTTCCATGATCAAAAACCTATATTTATTTTGTGAGGAGGCTAAGGTGTGACTACCGCAAGCTATGTAATAGGGAATCGCTAAGGATAAAATCTTCCTGACACTATTGTGATTATGTATCCACTCTTCAACTTAATTTAAATTATTTAATATAAAAATCAATTTCTGATAACAAAATAAGGGCCAGATGTGTATGATATAATTAGTGCTGTAAACGTTACTTCAAAAAAAAACGCTTTACTCGTTATGCGTAAAAAAAGGAACGCGTTGCCGTTACTCGTTATCTTGAGAAAAATGAACACGTTTCGCTATTCAATAAATAAAAACGCGATATTCGTTAATTACTTATATAAATTAAATATTATATATATAAATTTTTTCCCCCATAGATAATAAAAATAAAATTATACAAAAATAATGTATTATAAGTTCATTTTGAAATAATTTTTTATTTATTCTTAACAATAATTGATTTTAAAACTTTTGATCAGAAAAATAAGAACGCTTAGTGCTTAATAGTTTTCACAGTGCTGAACCCAAATTCGATTGGCGAAGAGGGTGGAAGTGGGGAGTGTTGTATATTATTTAATATATAAAATTTCCAATTGGATGAATCAATAAAAAAATATTTAACCCTTCATGGCACAGGTGAATCAATTGTTAATTTAAAATTTTATGACAGCTTTTGCCAAGAGAATTAAAAAGTGACAAATTATTTTAAAATGACATAATATATTTAAAAAAATTATTTAAATACATTTGATGTTGTATAAAGTAAAAAAAAAGTGCATAAGCTTAATATATCAATGCTAAAACAGATGAAAAAAGTTTGTGAACCCTGAGCTCAAAAAACCTTTATAACTCATGAACTACCAAACAAAATCAAAATTAAATTTGCACATATATATTTTACCTAAAAATATTAAGCAACTAAAAGATCCAGACAAATATATCAAAAGATTTTTAGTATTTTTTAAATGACTGTGTTTACATACTCCCACCTGTGTTATAAAGGGTTAAAGAATGATCTTTAATTTTCAAATTTTTTCTATTAGATCCTCTTCACAAGAATCTTCATTCAGATTCTCATCAAATTATTTTTATCTAGAATTTAACCTGAATTCATATTTTTACCTTCTTATATTTTTTAGATTTGAGCTGGACATTGATGTTTAAATATTTGAATTTGGGCAAAATCCACACTTACAAATGGAATTAATGTCTTTAAATATGTTCTGGGACTTGGGCAGAGTTAAATCATCTTCATATGAAGAAAAAGGTACTACTGACATATAGTATTTGGGTTATTCCATACCAAATCGATAACTTTTCGGCCCGACCTTTTTAATTTCGATAAAATTTTGTATGCTGAGAGAATATCATTTAATAGCATCGAATCCAAAATTTTAGCTTCCTAGTAATGATAGTTCCAAAGATATCAATGGTCAAAAGTGTCAAAAATGACCTATTTTCGAAGAATACGATTTTTTGAAATTGAGATAAGTTAAAAAATAATGATTTTAAAAATATAAGTTATATGTCATTTAATAACTTTATTAAAGGCCTTTTATTAAATATTAAGGATTTTTTTGAAATAATATTGTTGCGGTTTTTATTTACGTTATAAAATTTAAACATAAAAATTCCGGGTGTTTCGCTTTCCAAATTTTTTTGAATTTAATATTTTCTTATTCTCTAACCTTATATCTATTCATAAAAAAAAATTGAACTTGGGACAGCCATGGTTTTTTTTGTTATTACGATTAAAATAATCAAAAAATAAATATTTTTTTCAAAAATAGATGGCGCTCCTTTCTAAAATAAAGTGTTTTGTTATAATTATTATTTTTTTTAAACTTTTTTTCATTTTTAAAAATAAATAATAAAATTTTCCAGCATTCAGGAAAAAATATTTTATTGATCGTTTGATAGGCTTACTTATTATTATTGCTATATTGATAACTTGTAAAAATTAGTTATTATAATAAATGATTGAATTTCCTAAAAAGATAGTTAAGATTCCGATATCTCCTACAAGAAAATATAATAATTAATTGTTGAAAGATAAAAGCAAGTTTTCATGCACTTGACCTAATATTAATTAATTTTTATTTTACAAATATTTTGATATTAATTATATTTCTTCTTAAAATTATTTATAATGTATAAATATAAATGCGTAAATCCTTTTAAAGAATCAAAACACTTTAATTATGAAAAGAACTTGCGTAAAGTCATGACGTGAATGACACAATATCCAAACATTGAGGCGGAACACTATATTTGTGATAAATGTCGCAAACGGTTATCACAAAAAAATATTGAAAATATAAATTCTGATAGAATTTGTAAATAACACACAGCATCAACATCAATAGATAAAATCAATATAACTCTAAATGAAATTGGAATATCTCCTATTAAGAAAAAAAACTAACCGATGCTGAACATTCTGCCTCCTAATTGGAGCGCAAATAAAATAAAAACGACATTCAACGCTAGATATCATATGCCATATAATTCCAAAATCATTTTAGAAGAAAAGGGGATTCTTTCAACTCCAATCGAAAGCCTGCAAAATATCTCAATAAAAAAACAGTTGATATTGTTAAAAAATTTTTTTTGCAATGATGAAATTAGTAGGGTATTACCAGGAAAAAAAGATTGCATATCTATCATTGATAAGGGGGAACGAGTGAACGCTCAAAAAAGGTAAAGTTCATAATAATTTGAAATATATAATCATTTTAAGGCGAGTAATTCAAACTTAACAATTGGATTTTCAAAATTTGCTAGCTTAAGACCAAAAATTGTATATTAGCAGGGGCTAGCCGAACAAATAGTGTATGTGTTTGTAGCATACACCAGAATATTAATCTTATGATTTTAGGCTGTGAATTAGCAACATTGACTAAAAATGGTGAGGATACATTAACAACTTATAGAGATGTTATAGACAGAATGATTTGCAATCCCCCGTTACCCACTTGTTATTTTGTTGACTGCAACGAATGTCCTGACTCGGCACTCTTAAAAGAACCCATCGGAAAATTATTTATAAAAAATGATATAGCACTTGTTACGTTTAAACAATGGGTTTCGGTAGATAGAACAAATCTGGAGACTATTTCTCAATCTTCAGACGAATTTATTAATTATTTTTTCGATAAAATGAATATTCTCATAAGCCATTCATTTATTTGCTAACAAAGTTCATTTCACAATAACCTTAAAAATAGTTTAGAAAATAATCACTATCTAATTATTTGTGACTTTTCAGAAAATTATTCCTTTATTGTCCAAGACGAAGTTCAGGGTTATCATTGGACAACTTCGCAAGTTACGTTGCATCCATTCTCAATTTATTATAAAATAGGAGATCAAATAAACAATCTAAGTTGTATGGTAATATCAGAATCCTTAATTCATAATACTGTTTCATTCCATTTATTCCAATAGCATTTGATTCATTTTTTAAAAAATAAATTCGACACTCCACCAGAAAAAATTCACTATGGTTCAACAGCGCAATATAAAAATAGGAAAAACTTCATCAATGTTTGCTACCATGGTGTTCAAAAGGTTCTTTATTTATTTTTATAAAATTAAATAAAGCCATGGTAAAAGTGCCTGCGACGGCATAGGCGGCACAGTAAAACGGTTAGTTGCCAAGGCAAGCTTACAAAGACCTTATATTGATCAAATAATTACACCTTTACAATTTTATAAATATGCGAAAGAGCTATAAAAAATATAAATTTTTCTTATGCCAATATACCGTATGAGGAAGAAGAGATAAGGCTAAGTGATAGATTTAGTAAATCTATCTCAATACCCGGGACACAAAAAATTCATGCAGTGTTTCCGATTGGCTTAACTAAACTCAACACTAAACTATATTTTAATTCGCAGGCATTTATTGTGGAGATATCCACGTGAGGATCTGTTAATCGATGAGATTAGAAGATATGTAACATGTGCATATGAAAACGATTGGTGGTTAGGATTTGTACAAGAAGTGAATGTAATTAGAGATGAAGTAAAAATTAATTTTCTTCACCCTAAAGGACAGCAAATTCTTTTTTTTATCCAGCTGCACAAGATATCCTTTTCATACCAAAAAATAATATTTTAACATAAGTTAGCCCATCAACGGCTACTGGGCGTATATATATAATTTATCGCAAAACGAAATTATCATGGCGTCAAAAAAACTAAATTTTAATGTAAAGCCGAAAATAGGTAATATCTTTCATGAATTTTAATTTATCTATTATATCTTCAAAATTTATAAAATAATTTTTTGATAAATTAAAATTTTTTATAAAAAAAAATGATTATAACCGCAGCTAAATAATCCCATTTAATGATATTAATGCTGGAAAATCTTATTATTTATGTTCAAAAAAGTTAAAAAAAATAATTATTATAACAAAACACGTTATTTTATAAAGGAGCGCCATCTATTTTTGAAAAAAATATTTATTTTTTGATTTTTTAAATCGTAATAACTAAAAAACCCATGGCTGTCCCAAGTTTAAATTTTTTTATGAATAGATATAAGGTTGGAGAATAAGAAAATATTATATTCAAAAAAATTTGGAAAGCGAAACACCTGGAATTTTTATGTTTAAAATTTATAACGTAAATAAAAACCGCAACAATATTATTTCAAAAAAATCCTTAATATTTAATAAAAGGCCTTTAATAGAGTTACAAAATGACATAACTTATATTTTTAAAATCATTATTTTTTAACTTATATCTATTTCAAAAAATCGTATTTTTCAAAAGATCATTTTTGGCACTTTTGACCATTGATATCTCTGGAACTATGAGTACTAGGAAGCTAAAATTTTGGATTCGATGCTTTCAAATGGTATTCTCTCAGCATAGAAAATTTTATAGAAATTAAAAAGGTTGGGCCGAAAAGTTACCGATTTGGAATGGAATTACCCATTTATAATATAAAACACCTTGATTGATTCAATATTATTTAGATAAACAAAATTGTATAAAATTCAACAATAAAAATGTAATAAATAAAATAAAAATGAGAAACTTTGGTAGTTGGTATTAAAAACTCGGCTTAAATTATTTATAAAATTTTTAAAATGTCATAATATAAAATAAAATTATATTTTTTTCCTATATTTTTTAAGGAAAAAATGTGTAACGAACAATGTCTTGCATCATCGCTACTCAGAAAAAAATAAAAGAGTTACTCGTTACCCATGAAGTAACGAATGGCGTTCCTTTTCTTCAAAAATAATAAACTGATTAATAACGAACGACGTTACTTTTATCAAGGTTACTTTACAGCATTAAATATAATATATTTTTGATTATCAATGAAATAAATAATCACTTTGTTCTCTTTTACAACATCTTTGATAAAAATGCATCTCTGTAAACAATGGTCCATTGTTAAAAGGTTCCTTATTTATTTTTATAAAATTAAATAAAGCCATAATTTAAAATATTCTATCTGGATATTTGTACAGTGATGTACACCAATTTTTTTCACCAGTGCCAGGCCAGTACCAGATATAAATTTACAAAAAAAATTACAGTAATTCAGGCACAAGATCTTATATAAATAAAAATATTTATACTCATTTCATGTGGAATATAAAATTCAACAAAAATATTGTTATATTTTTTGAATGCTTTTTTAATACAACCTTTTAAAATTAGTGATACCTTGGATATTTGTTTAACTCATTTTTTGTTTAAGAAAAGAGAGGTGAAAAGAGAAAGAAAAGTATTCTTATCTATATTAAATTGTGAATGTCTGTATATGGAATTAAAATTTTGTAAAAATAATGACTACATTGTAACAGGTAATATCATGTAATAAGATTAGTTCAATATTTCTCTAATTAACATAACAAATTGAAGCTGAGTAATGGATTTAATACGAAATACAGAATCAAACTTCAACATATATTTAATTAAAGAAATACCCCCAAAAGTTGTGGCAAGTATATATATTTTGTTAACCATATTGTAAATATTTTTTAGAGACAAGAGGAAAAGTATTTTGGGAATATATTGATAAAAATATTCCTTTTATCTCAAAAAAGCTAGTTGAATTACGTTTGAATGTTATTTTGAGCTCTTGAGTTAGTGAAAACTTAAGGAAAAGAAGTAAATACTCATTTAGTAATTTTAATATAATATGGTCTATAAAATTAGCTTAATTAGACAAGATAATATTTAGTGTACGAAGTAGTAGTGCAACAAGTGAAAAATTTTTTTGTGGCAGGTTGGACAAGCCCAAAAATGTCAATAATTTATTATTTTTGCATTCTAATTATAATTTCAAACCTTTTTAAAATATTTGTTTTAGAATATTAGTATTTTATATACTTTTATCTATCCTTCAAACAAAATATTTGCATGTATATATATATTAAACAAAATAAAATATTTATCACATGAAGAATTCAGGACCAGGCAAAGTCAGAAGTTAATTTGGGGTGAGTGAGCAAAGAATATAATTCCATTTAAATAAGGATGACAATACAGCATATCTTATCATAAGATATTTGTAAATAATATTTTTGACCATAATCTTAAATTTTAATTATCATTGACAGAAATAAGACATATTGTGTTATGTATTAGGCTAATTGGTGAATTTTAAAATTCTATAGAAGTGATAATCAAGAAAGTTGAGTATTTTAATTTAACAACTCCCTAATATTATAAATAATTGTTTATTATGGTGTTAAACTACATATATTTTTAATAAGGTTTTTTATTTTTAAGAAAAACTGGTGTCAAGCGATTTTAAAAAAAGCTGGGCAACCTAAGTGAAAAAATAGAATTAGGATGAGAATAAATTTTACTGGGCAAAAGTGAAATCCCAATTGGTCAGGGTCATTTGTAGATTCTACCCATGACTGAAACATATTGCCAAGTTAATTTACAAATTTAAGAAAAACCACAAAAATGATTTACAAAAGAAATAGAAAAATCAGAAATAAAAAGATTTATTAATCCAATAAAATATTTATTAAAGTTACATTTAGTGTATATGCTTTAAAATATAAATATTTATCATATATACAAAATGTTAAAATTAATAAGAACTATGCTCACAATTTTGGCAACATATTCTAAATTGGTCTTAGATTGAGATAAATGAGGAATTGCTATATATTAATCAATTTTAAAAAGCTGTCAACATATATAACCTAAATAAATAGCACCAAAGCCTCCTATTCCAATTTGAACACCTAATTTCCATTTATTTCCAACTAAATCTGTTAATATTTCATTCGCAGGAAATTTTTCAGGCAATTTATGTAAAATTTTGGGTTTCTTCTTAGCTAGAAAAAACGATATTCAAAATAATAAGTATAATATAAGTATATTACCCGGCATTCATAAAATTTGAAATTTTTACGAAAAATTAACCGCGCCTTGGATAAGGCTTTACCACAAGCGGTCGGAGATACAATAAAAATATTTTATATATCAGACGAATCGTCCATATTTACAAAGAAAGGATTGCTTCCCTTAATATTATTCCATCTCCAAATAACTTCTCCTTAAATTCAATAAATTATTGTATAACATAATGTAAACATAAAATTTTAACTTATGAATTTGAATATGGATTTTCATGGGTATAAAAATGAATGTATAAAACTAATAATTATATTATTGTATATTATTTTTCTATAAATAATACTAAAAAGTATTTTCATTCTCTGGCGTTTTTGAGAATATGATTTTCATATTGTTTATGTTTATTAACTGATATCTTTTTCACATGATCACACTGATCCTTTTTTAATATGATAAATTCAATATTAAATTTAAAATTAAATATATGTCTATAAATATGATATCAAGGTAATGATTAACAATAATCTATATAGATCATACATCACTTGTAAGTTCAGTTGGATTTTTATATATTCCCTTTGAGTATTATGGTAATGAAATTGAAGGCTAAGAAAGCTGTTAATATGTTGCAGAGTTGTTAATCGATACTTTTAAAAGTAGCACGCTACCGCTATCGCTATTTGTCAAAAAAGTAGCTCGCTATTAGCTATTATTTTTCAAAAATAGCTTTAGCTACTTTTTATAAAAAAAATTTAGAAACAAATTTGTTATATTTTTTTGCTTAGAATATTATTGTATAGTAAATATATAAAAATCAACATTTATAAATATTACAGTTAGTTTTGATTATAATGTAATAAAAATAAATATTTATGGTAATTTGTTGCATTTTATAAGTTTTTACCTAGTGTTATGTGTCCAACTATCTGCCGTGGTACATATATATGATAACTCTACTATTAGAGTATCTTTCATCACTTTAAAGTTATCTGCTATTTTACTCATTAGTGGCTGGCGACATAAAATTGTTGTACGAGGGTATAGAGTTTTAATCATCATGGTAAATGATGTATTATCAACCAAGGACATTGGCTGAACTGTAACAATTATAAAATCAACAATAACATTATAGGCCAATTTTTGAGAAATATTGTCATTTGTATTATTAATTAATTTGGTTTGAATTGAATTAGTCTTTTTGGATGGAGAGTCGCCTATGCCAAAATTATTTAGATGTTTCTCCATTTCCTTAAAGCTATTGGTATGAACAATCTTATAAAATAAATACTATTAGAATGTAAAAATGACAATTTACCTTTTGGTGTTTCTTGAGGTTATAACTGGATTGATTTGAGGAAATATATTTTTTGAAGCCAGTTATGTTTTTTATATTTATTTTAAAAAAAATTTCAAATCTAGGGAATGAGAAATTTGTATTATAGCTATTAAAAACATTTTCTTCCCTGGTATTTTCCATTTCTTTAATATCATTGTCTGAATCACTTTCAACGATTTGGATATCCATAGGCGATGACATAAATCATTAACCCGTGATTTAGGTTTGTAATACAAATGAAAATATAAATTACAAATTGAAAATATATTTCTATTTCAAAATTAAATAATAAATCATAAAAATTATAATTAATTATGATATTATATTTAAATTTTCATGTTTATACTTACCTTCATTATATTTTTTTAAAAAAAGTAGCGCGCTAAAAAATTAAATAATTATAAAAAAAGTAGCCGCTATTAGCTATAGCTACCAAAAAAGTTAGCGCGCTACTTTAACAACTCTGATATGTTGCATAACACCCATATTTTTCTGAAGTAATTAGTGTGTAAGTGATTTTCTTTATACATATGGGAGTGTTGTTAAAGAGCCTGATTCGTGTAGACTTTAAAAATGGCTCGATTAAGATTATAACCAAAATAAAATTATGGAAGCCTAAAGCTTTTGCTCATAGCTGGCAGAAATAATTAGACATATATCTAAATTTCAATGTTACATAATATTATTTCAGCTAAAATCTTAATCTGGCCGTTTTGAAAAATCGACCCAAATCAGGGTTTTTAACAACACTACATATGGGTAATATTATTATCTTTTATATTATAAAATAATCAAATATTCTTTTCTGCGAATATTTAATGTTGATAAAAAAAACTTTTGCTCACTCTGAATTTATTATTAACATAAAAATGATAGATATTTTTATAAATAGATTATATTTAAATTATATTAATTTGATTTTTTATCACCATCATATTGCCAAGATTAATATAAATTTTTTCTGTTTTTGGTAGATAAATTTGCAGCAAATTTATCCACATTGCAATCATTTATGGTTTGGATAATTCTGGCTTTTATTATTTCACTTTAATAACAATACATATATGACTTTTTCCTTTGTAATAGTTTTTTTCTTTGAGTTGGCTTCCATTAATCGAATTTAATAGGTTATTCTTGTTAATATTTTATTATTTGGAACAGTAATATCAGGATATGTTAAATATAGGGGAAGAAAATGAGGAGCTACATGTTTGTATAGCAAGCCTCACCAGGACTATAATTTAAACGTCCATAGGTAATATAAAAAGATTTGGACAAAAAGTCTACACCCGAAAATTGCGCATATAATTCTCACTTCTTGTGTATATAATATATATACTATTCTATATTTATTCAATTTAACTGGCCTTTTATATTATATCAAATATAAATGCGCTATACTAATATATAACAAATATATTATTCAAATAACGTAGAATATTATAACCTTATAAATATACGAAATATAACAATAACGTATTGACTTTCCAATTTATTCTTATATTTGGCAATCGCTTCTAAGGGTGCAGACAAGAAATATCAGATAAAAATATGTCAGTGTCATAAGATAAATAAAAATAATGATAATTATTATAAACATCTATTTAAAACTAATATGTGTGAATCATAGTAAAGCCAAATTCAATACGTTTGACGATAATGGTTATAATGAGTAATAAATGTGGGTTAAGTTATAACCTAGATGAAAGTTGTCTAGTCACAATTGCAGCATATAACAAATGTAAGAAAATTGGTATTGTGCAATTTGTTGCAAATCAAAGAACTTAAATTATATTTGAGCCGCAAAAAATACAGATATTTCTCATTCTTTTTTTGATATATTAAAATTTTTATTTAATTTAAATTTGAGTTAAACTATTAAAAATTTTTCTTTTAAATTTCCCACTAATAATATTAATAGTACTGTATATGTATAACCCGTTGGTATAGTCTTTAATAAAATTTAATCCTAGCCAGTACTGGGAAAAACTTAATTTTACAAAGTTGAAAGATATTAAATGTAAACAGCGTCTACATGACAGGATTTTCACTGGATGCAAACCCCCTTCAAAAACCTTTGCCTACCCCCCTAAAAAATTATCTAAAGGATTTATTTTTTAGATAATAATTTCAATTAAATCCTCCATTATTTACAATGAATTTATTATTATAATTTTATGAGCTTGCTGAAATATCTAAACCTTTTAAATGTAATTTAAAAGGATAGCAGAAAGTTTTATTTGGAAAACAATATGTAAAATTGTTTGCAATATATATATTTAATCGATGAATTGTATTATAATAGTTCTATAATAAAAGTAATAATTTTTACAAAATAAATTTTGTACTATTTCATCTCAAAATTCAATAGATAATCCCCCCAAAAATTTATCCTACCCCCATTAAAGCCGCCTACCCCTACCCCCCTCAAAAAATAGGATACAAACTGTTCCTACCCCTCCCGCTCATGTAGACGCTGAATGTAAATCTAAACGAGTATCCTAAAGCAATGTATCCTTTAGCAATAACTATTGATAAGCTGCGAGGCAAAATAATTTGGGGACTAGGTCCTAATTTTATTTGTTAAAAAAAATAAGTTTAGGTTTTTGCCTATCGTTAAAGTCATAGAAATTAGGTTGAATAAAAGTAGAAAATATTTTTATTATTAATATAAAATGGTAGCCACCATTTAAATCCTTATTTAAAATTAAATGGGATGATATTGATGATAAAAAAAATATTTGCAAAATCGGTTACTGCACATCCATTTTTAAGGACAGGGTTAATGAATTTGACCAGCCTTAGAAATCATCCTCTTTTATTGAAGAGGGCAATTATTTTTGTTTTAATAATATTCTTTCAAAAAATAATGAGGCTAATGAAATCGAGGTGGTGATATTTAATTATATTAAAGACAAATGTCTTGATACTCGCAGCTTACATAAATAGAAGCACATCAATTTTTTTAAATATAGCATTATTTTGCTCTCTTTGACCCCACAAAATTTTTAATTATCTAATATATTATTAAACTTTTTTAAATATATATTGTATCTATATCTTAAAAGAGTATTTGTATCTTTATCTAGTAATTTTTTTAAAATTTGTCAATCCCTTCAGACAATATATTAATAACCGAAAAACATTTAAGCATAATTATTAATATCGAACTAATTTCAATAACCTTTTTCAAAGTGAATGTAATAAATAATATTAATTTAATCTTTATTATAAATGTTTGTACAATATATAAAGATATAATTTACAATCAAAATCGTTTATAGCACACAAATGCAATCATAACAAAAAATTTTCTTAATCAATTTTTCCTTCCAGTGCTCTTTTTCCTACTTCCGCCAGTATTAACTCTTTTTCGGCCTTTAACCTTCCCTTTCCCTTTTGCTTCTTTTTTCCGTTTCCAATCATCCTTTTTCATTCGCCGATCCACCTTTTTGACTTTTAAATTTTTGTCACCTCTACCTTTCTTTCTCGAAGAGGAAACTGTCCCGGCGTTTCCTTTACGCCCTTTCGCCACCACATACATCTTGTCCCGTTTGGAGGACGCGGCGATACTTCGCGTGCGTTTCGCTCGGGCTATGAGGTTACGCTGAATAGCTTGACTAGCGGCGCTCGTATCATTTTCTCCACTTTTATCGCCGTGAATACCGAAGGGGTTAATGGAGGCCGTCAATTTTTGCGCTCTATCTACTACTTTGGCAAGGCGTTTTGCTGCGCGTCTTTTTTTGCGCGCCCTGGCTTCAAGAACCTTTTTGATGGGTCGAGAGTTAAGAGATTGACCATATTTCAAACGCGTTTCTTCGACAATTTCGGAAGGAAGAGCTTGAGGAGGCAACAATCGTTTAAAATAGTGTTTACGTTCGTCGGCCACGAACCAGTCCGGAAGTGACGTAGCCTTTTCACCGAAAGTGTACCTAATTTAATATGGTAAGAATGTTTTTTTTTACAAAACAGATATTTCTGATCAAATTTTACCTAAATATGCCAAAAAGGATAAGTTCTAATTGACGAAAACAAAAATCGCTAAAAATTGGGAATCTAGCTTATATTTCCTTTTAAAAGTGATATTAAAAATAATATAATAATGAAAGTAAACATTTCCTCCATTTTAATCGATTTTGTTAAAATCTCAATTTAAATAGCAAAATTTTGAATTTTCTTAAAAAATTTTCTATAAAATATAAACGATATCCTCAATTTTTTTTGTTCTTAGAGATTCAGAACGGGAACCAAAATACCTTTAAAGAAGATAATATCAAAAATTTTAAATAAAATCTTTGTTCATAATATTTTAATGAATTTTTTCATACTCTGGCTTATTAAATGAAAATATTTTGACTTATATTAAACCCAAATAAGTCATAATACTTTTTATTGTTTTATTTTAAAAGAAAGAAAAATTGAATCGTATACTAAATCACAAATATAATGAGTCACTCTCGGAATCAGAATCAAAGTCTGCAAGACAGAAAATTCACGGGAAGCAACCCCCCCCCCCCCCCCCCCCATAAAAAAAATTTCGAGACCAACCCTTTAAAAAAAATTCGCATACAGTTGATTACTGAGTTCTTAATGGCCTAAATATCAATCTCCAAGCTACATTAAATATTTAGCAGATACTATTAATTAATATAAACATTTATAGAAATTAGTAAATTGTAATATATATTCGTTCAAATAAATTGATATAGTTCAAAATTCTTGCAAGAAATAAGGCGCGAATATTTTTTATTTGTAGAATATTTTTTTTACAATAAAAAATATATTAAATTTCTATATTTAAATAAATTAGGGCCGGGGGACAAATAATTTATATTTCGGGTCGGGCTTTTCGGGACAAATAAAAAAAGAAATTTCGTTCGAGATCAGGCCGGGCAGGAAAAATTTTAAAAAAAAATCGGACCGGATGGGGGGGGGGGACTTTTATTTTAATGCCTGTGATTGTAAGCAATAATATATAGTATAGTTTGGCTTATGTTTGATAATTTATTTATATTAAAATAGGCCTATAATTTAATTATTAGAGCAATATACTTTGCTTTATTTTATCTAAATATGTCATTAGTAACCCATAATAAATTTAACCAACCATTAGATACCTACCTTCTACCTCCCTCAGAAATTTACCCCCCTACCCCATTTAGATGTCTACCAACTTTACTTTCAAGGTGGCTTGTATATATATTAAGCTATATATCTCTATTAGTATTGTTAAAAAGCCCGATTTGGGTCAATTTTTTAAAATTGCACTAGCCTCAGGCAAATAAAAGCCCAAACCTTTCTGCCATCTATGAATAAAATCACCAGGCTTACACAATATTATTTTGCTTATAGTCTTAATTGGGCCGTTTTAAAAATCGACATGAATTGGGCTTTTTAACAACATTAATCTCTATTTTAGATACCCATACTTATCAATACAAATAGTTTGGTAAAATTCAATCTATTCTAGCCAACTCCAAACCAGCGAATTAATCCAATCTACATAAAGCTGAATTTTTAGTTTATTTCTGAGGCTTGAAACGTTTCAGAGTAGGTTTGAGTAAGGCGAAGGAAAAATAACCATTTTTCTCGTGCATTTATAAATAAAGTAAATAATCCGCAAAATAATAATAAAATTAATGACGTGATACATGAATGTAAAACGGGTAACCAAACTATACTATAATTTAAATAATAATTTAAAACTCCAATTTACCTTTAAGATAAAAAAATATAATGATGATAGATTCATCCAAAAAAACCAACTCAAAATGAATAAATAAACTAACCTATGGTAAGATTCGTCCTCGACCTCGTTCTTCTTTTTCTTAGATTGAACCATATAGGTCGCGAGTAACATCTCTTCGGGTGTATCAAGATTACCGCTGTCGTTTTCCATATTGTCCGCTTCAGTATCGTTACCGTCATTACCATACGCGGATTCAGCCTCCGTCTCTTCACCCGACATTTCATTTTGCATTCCAATAGCTAAGAAGATGTTAATATTATTTAATAATAAGGTTAGCACAAAAAAAAACTACATAAAATATATAATTTTAAACACAAAAGTTTAAATTGAAAAAATTGTCATTAAATTTTTTTTAAAAAAAAAGATAGAGGAATCGTAAAATTCAAGGGATCCTGAAAATGTCAAAATATTCGTACCTGAATCGACACTCGATTCTCGGTTGCCTGTCTCCCATCTGAGCTCATTTTGGGTATCTGATTCGATATCATGTTCCGACGTAATAATTTCATCGTCAACCATCATTCTTTTTGGGTCATCCTCAACTTCTTCGTCAGTTTGGTCAAAATCTGATTCTCGAGAATGTCTTTGGGTATCCCGTTGGGCCTCAGGATATTCGGGCAAATTTTGGGATAACCATTTAAAGCTAGGCCTATCGAACCATTGTTCCACCTTGATTTCCTGCCTGTCTTTAGGGTCATAAACTAGATCCTGAATGAGTTCACTTTCTAATATATGGTATTAATAATGAACGTTTTTAATATGCTTTCCCCTTCGCTTGCAATGAGCCTGTGCTTAAGGTTATCAACTAATCTCCTTTTAAATATATAGTTTACCCTCAAAAATGCCCTTTTAATTCCGAAGCGTTTGAAACTCTCTTAAAAGAATACAAACAAAACATTTTAAGAATACCATAAATAAAAAAAAATTAAATATCACACAAAAGTTACCTTTGGCGCCCAATATTTTTTCAGCATTTGCAAGAGATTTTATATTGCCTTTATAATTTTGAAATAAAAAAATAAATCATTGTACAAGCAAATTATACTAGTTTATCAATTATATTTCCAAAATATAATAAAATAAAAGAAATGTTATCTGCATTGGGGCTTATTTCTCAAGCCCGGTTCACCCGAACATATAAGCGCCTTGTTTCTTGCAATTTAAAAAATATCAATTTTTAAGAAACCGTAATGATATCTATTTAAAAATTTAAGCCTGATCTGGGCCGGCCCGTAATTTTATAAAAATATATTAGATCCGACCCAGCCCGAACTGAAATTATTTTCCGAAAATAGGCCTTTATAATTTTGAAATAAAAAAATAAATCATTGTACAAGCAAATTATACTAGTTTATCAATTATATTTCCAAAATATAATAAAATAAAAGAAATGTTATCTGCATTGGGGCTTATTTCTCAAGCCCGGTTCACCCGAACATATAAGCGCCTTGTTTCTTGCAAGAATTTTAAAAAATATCAATTTTTAAGAAATCGTAATGATATCTATTTAAAAATTTAAGCCTGATCTGGGCCGGCCCGTAATTTTATAAAAATATATTAGATCCGACCCAGCCCGAACTGAAATTATTTTCCGAAAATAGGCCAGGCCTGGCCTGGGATTTGCAGATCTCTAACATTATTATCGACTATAATTAAATTTATTTATTAATATCTTTTATCGTTCATGTCATTTAAAAAAAAATTTATATTATTCCAACAGTTTTTTTTATTTTTTTAATAATTTTGATGAGCTGATCTTTTATACATTGGCTTGCAAAATGAGAAAGAATGTAAAGATTTTAATGTTCCTATATTAAACCACCAGGCATGCAAACGTTTATCATAAGTAGATGGAAAATTTAATTTAATTTTTTCTATAATGTTTTCTTCTACCATAAATCAAACGGAAGGTGATAAATTTGATATGGTGAAAATATTATCAGATATTTCTAAATGTCGAATGCCTCTCAATAGACGATGCACAGATTCGATATTATATAAAAGATAGTTAAAAAAATTGAATGGAAAACTCTTACGTTTTATAAATAAAATGTGGTGTGTCATACTTTCTGCTATCAAGGTAACCATAAAAGAACCCTAGTCAAAAATAAATTTGACAACGTTAACAAACCCCTATTTACCTAAGCCCTAAGAAAATAAAACCTAAATCAGTGAAAAGAAATATTAAAAAAGGGAAATCCAAACCATGATTAGCACCCAAAAAATTGGAATGCAAAATTGGCAGGATAAATGGAAGGAAATTTAAATAGCAAAAAAAAAATCAAAATCAATCCACAAGAGACAAAGATGACTGTATCCAAAAAAGTCTAATTTTTACAGCTTGGAGTCTTGGCCCTATCGTTTGCAATGGGCCTGTGCTTCAGGTCACCAACTAATCTCCTTTTAAAATATATAGTGATCGTTTTTTTTAAATATAAAGGTAGCTGCAGAATAAAAACAAGGATGTTTAGGGAATATAGCAACAATTACTTTTAGAATTAAAAACATTCCAATCTCCCAAAAAAATAAGTCAAAAATAAAATAATTGAATGAGAATAGAATTATGGTTCTCATAGCATAATGAATCATAATTAGTTTAAAAAATTGTCAAATATAGAAAATAATCATAAAAAATTAATTTAGACAGAAAGTTTATTAAAACTAGCTTCGAAGAAGCCTCCACATAAATAAAATATATAGTTAATAAAACAATATTACTCATTTTCTTATTAATTTGTTTCAAATCAAAAAGATCATCATTGTGTATTGTGTCCGTGATATCATGAGGTAAATCCATTTGGAGACGCATCCTTTCTGCTAATTTTGCCTTCATTTTAGCTATTTTACGCCTTTTAATTTTAATAAGCTGTTCTGATTCTAGCTTTATGGCCAAAATTTTTTTTTCACCCATTTCTTCTTCAGTGAAATCCAAATCTTTTGTTAAAATATTAAATAATATTTTTTTTTAAAAAAATTGGTATAAATAGTAATTTCTGTTTATTCAAAAAATATATATCATACCTTTATCAGTTTCAGAAGTCTTGGAAGTGTTTTTGATAGTTGTTAAAAAGAGCTGTTTTTTAAGTTTAAATGCCCATCTCATCAATATTCTAATGTCACCAGTGCCTAAAACTTTGAGATCAGAACATAGTGCCTTGACCTCGGGTGTAGTCAGAGGATGATTTCTAATTCTAGGATCTATTAATAAAATTTCTTTGTAATTAGATTCTTTCAAAATTTTCTTATGGCTATGTGCTAGTATATAATCTATATCAGATATCAATGTTTTAGTATTTTGAGTGGCAGACTCATCATCTATATTAACTATAACTTTAGAATCTTGTTCCAAGCGAAATTTTAATTTTTGAATTTCTTTATAATCACCTATTTCATACTTTATAATTTGTTTAAGTTTAGTTTCATCTTCTTGAATCTTACTTTTAGGCATATCATTATTATCTTTAACAATATCCTCTAAAGGTAAGTGAACATTTTTCAATTCTAGATCCATGTTTCCTATATTATCGTTTTTATTATCATCTAATTTATTTTCAATTGCATTTTTAACAATTATGTCATCAATTTCCTGAAAAATAAACTTAGGGTCCAAAAATTTTGGGTCTACTTTGTTGTAATGGATAAAACCTTGACAAACAGCATAGATTTCTGCTGATTCATTTCTGGAAGCTTGAGGTTTTGTTGACTCAACACTTTTAAAAAATTTTCGAAACACCCAGAGTAATGAATCATAATCTTTACTCCTAAATAACTTTGTAACAAATGTACCACCTGGAGCCAAAAAGTGGACTGCTAATTTGAAAGCATAAAATGCTAACCTCACTAAAATTTTCAAAATATATTTTATATAATAAAATTTAATTGTACCTTGTGAATGAGCATCAAGGAGCCAATTAGTTCCTAAATTTGGTGCACCATCATGTAATATACAATCAATTTTGCATGTTTTTAAAAATCGTTTTATTAACTAATATTTTAATATAATTTAAAAAATTGTTACATATATTACATGATGACATTTTTCTGTAGTTATATCCTCTTGAAATAATTCCACATTAGGTAGAGATTTCACAGGAGCAAGATCAATTCCTTAATATGATTTTAAGATACTATAATGTAATATTAATTATATTACCAATAATTACAGACGAGGCTGGTAATGTTTTTGCTGCCACTTGTAACCAACCTCCAGGTGCACAGCATAAATCTAATAAAACAGTACTATTTTGAAGAAATGAATATTTTTGATTTAATTGAATAAGCTTAAATGCTGCCCTCGATCTGTATCCTTAAAAATAAATTAAAAATTTTCAAATAATTAATCTAAATACCTATTTCTTTGGATAATTTGTAATATTTATCTTTCCTAGATTTTCCAGTTTTTAACTTTTTCCCCATTTTTTAAAGATATGTGCGATAGATAGACGTTTGGTATTTAAATTAAATGGTTTATCAGATGAGTCTTAAACGTTGACTAGTTTAGCAACGCAGCTATACTAAGAATCAACTACAACTATATAAGCAGTTGTAAATTGCTTAAAAATTTGACTTGGAAGGTGGAGCTACAATATTTTATATATTATCAGAAAATATTGTATACATAAAATCAATTTTTTTAATTACGAATATAAATAATTTCTTTATTTATATTATATTTTAATAATTATGACACAAATTAAATATGTATTCAAAAAATTCCCATATATCTTTCATTTCTTGATTTACTTGGTCTTATTTTTTGAAAAAATCTTATTTGGCCCACGATATTTCCTCTATACCACATTTTAATAGGTAGATATGAAATACATTTCGATATCAAAGGTCCAATAATATTTGTAAACACTAAATTTGACAAATTATTTATTCTTAAACTCGCTCAATTATCTATCATAATCAAATTCATTAGAAGCCCGCAGTTAAAGAATTTTTTAAATTTTTCATTAGGAATATCTTCCTCTATATATTGGAAGCCTAGCAATCGTTTATATTTATAGAGTATTTGGCAGATTCCTTTTATTCGTTTCTCGCCAAATAGCGCAAGGTTCTTATTTATATTTTTCTTACATTTTTGTGATTTTGGCCAAATATTTTATATATTTTTTTATTTAGATTTTCGGGATGCCAAAACGCTTAATATTTATTCTAGATTTTGTGGCAATACCCTAACTTCTATGTGGTTATAAAAAAGATATTAAAATTAAAAAATTTTGCAAAATTATTTTTGACTATATAAAAATTTTAGTTTTTATAACAAAGAAGAAAAAAATTGTTTAAAATTTAACACTTTTTAAAAAATATTAAAATTTCTTGGCGGAGCGCTCAGCCTCTCCTCAAAATTTGGAAAGGAAAAGTCAAAGAATTAGCAGGCGGGACTTAGTCCTCTGTAGCCTCCTTGGAAATATACCCCTCTTTATAAACTGTTACTATAATATATCCACTTATATTATTTTTTACTAATATTATATAACAGATACATTTATATAAAATACATATTTATTTAATTTATATTATTAGTTTATTTCAAAGTCGTAACATTGTAAAAATATATATAAAAAATATAATTTATAAACTAAAAAAATATATATAATATGTAAGAAATTAAAAAATTAATGTGCTAATTAATGGAATGAGTATTTTAATATTTTGTTATGTAGAATGGTTTTAATATTAGATTGTGAAAATTAAGTACAATAAAAAAACAAGTCTACCAGTAGTACAACGGTATAATAACTCACTCAATTTAACAACATAACTCTAAAACTAATAAATCAGCTCCAAATTTTATTCGCTAACTAAATATATTTTTTTTTAAAAAATTAATTATAAATATAAAATTCGTTCTTTTTATACTTTACAGAAATCATGAGTTCTACACCTGATATATAAAATTCAGCGACTATTTAATATTAAACAAAATAATTTTTTAAATATAAATAATTTTAAATATTAATATGACACGCCTTCCATAAATGAGCTCGTTCAACCCCCATATTCCTGACCCCGTTGACTTTAGAATAGGCATACTTTTAATCTAATTCATCATGGGTTCTCTCAATCGTGTCAAATATTCAGGTTTATAAATTTTGAATTTCTATTACCGATTATCATTAATTCCAAACTATTTTATTATCAATTAACCATCAAATATTGAAAATTTTGAAGAATATATATTTTTTCTTCTTATCTGAATAATATAGAATTCCATAATATTTCACAAGAACCGACATATTTTATCTTCCTTCCAATATCTTTGATAGTATAGTGGTTTCCTTTTCAAATTACCAATAATCTCGCTGAAGTAGGCCTTGGCTGCATCGTTTATGATCGAATATTAGTTATCTTGAACCAACTTTAATGATTTGCCTCCGTAATCTTCATCGAGTTTGAAATATTGTTATCTGCTCAAAGTTAATGACTTGTCTCCGTAGTATCGAGTTTGAACGAATATTAATTATCTGTACCCATCGTCAACGATTCGTCTCTGTAGTCTTTATCGAGTTTCCATATTTCCCAGAAATTGTTTTACCGCATGCTGATAATGATAATCTATATCCATTAGCACAATCAATTCTTAATTTTTGTTTTTTTCATAATATATTTAGTTGGCAAATAAAATTTGGAGTTGAAGATTTATTAGTTTTAGAGTTGTGTTATTAAATTTAGTGATTAAATAGCGTTGTACATTTGGTAGAGTTTTTTTTATATTATACTTAATTTTAACATAGACGATGTGATTATTGATAGTCCGATATAGGATCTAGGTCGACATAATTTCTGGTGGGGGGTTTTCTATTAGGGCGTTTTTTGTTCTCTAGATTTATCCCTCTAAGTTTTAAAGTTGAAGATTTGTTTGCCTTTGTTAAGGACTTGGCGAATTAGGTTATCTTTAATTTTGGGGGCTAATGGGCAGTTAAAAGTGCAAAAGTAGCTCTTATTACAAAATTGGTATAAATTCGAAAAATGGCTTAGCAAAGCATCCTATTTTTCCAAAATTAGCATCCAATTTGTAAGTAATTAACACCCATTTAAACAAATAGATTAATATGATATTTTAATAGCTTTCTTAAAAAAAATTTGGGCAAATTATAAATGAATATTTTTTTCCTCGTGGTATTAAATTATTTTATTATTATAATTTCCTTAATAAAAAGTTAAGCAAAAACAAAATAGTGAAAAAATATTTTAAATGGAAAAAAAATAAGTATATAATTTATTTAGAAATTATAAAATAAAACAACCCCTAATACATCGGTTAATTCCAAAGGAAAACATGGTCTTAATTGTATATAATCAAGGCAGACATGCAAGGCTTCTCTTGCTAGGGTCCAAATATCAAACTTCCTGAAGCCTGCTAATTTATCATCAAATAATGGCTTACGGTCAATTAACTTATGTATCTTGGTCTTTGACGAAATCCTTATTTGGAACTTCACATGCGTATTTTTATTTCCAAAAAGTAAATTCTAATTCGATTGATATAGCCGAGAAAAAAAATAATATTTGAAATTAACAAATTATAATTTTTTAGTTTTTTTACCAATCGTTATCTCTATAGAACTTATAAATTTTTAAAAAATAGAGGCAGTAAATTAAAAGCCTTTACATCATAACCCAAGAAATTTTTATTTTAAAGCAAAAAATTCAAATTACTATTCTAAAATATAATTATTTGTGTTTTTTGAGAAAACCTATAGTCCTTTTTTAAAGTATCGGTGCCTTTTTATTTTTATTATATTATAGTTTAAGATTAGAATATAGTTATATATTATGAATTTAAATAAATCGATATATCATAAACAAATATATGAATAAATTTTTGCTATAATTTTTGTGATATATATTTTTTATTTAGAAACTAAAATAAAATTTTGATTATAATATAAAACTGATAAAACATAAGTTTAAAATGTAAACAAAATATAAAAAATCAAAATGTATAATATAGGAGGGATGGGGGTTATGTGTGTTAAAGGAATAAGAGGAATAAGGGAGTATTTCAAAGAAACACTTATAATTCCCTTTTAGGATTTCAATTTGAGATTTTTATTTGAGGGAAAGGGATTCGTTTTTAAACCAGTCCTTATTAAAATTTTCTTACCCAATTTTATTAAAAAATTTTAGGGATTGGGGACTGTAAAAGAAATTTAGAAGAGCCTATATTTTTTGCATTTTTTAATTTCTTGAAGTTCCAAGAGGTCAGAGTTTCTATTAGAGGGAAATAAATAGCACATGACATATACCAGACAAGTCTTTTGCCGCCGAGCCAAGATGTTAAAGACATGCCATCGGGACGCTTACCATCCTCATTTAGGAGACCTAACGGCTCAAACCTATTAGGGAAAGTGGCGTAAAATAAAGATTTTCTGATCATATTTAGATTGACATGTCGCAAAAAATGGCCGCTGGCTTTAAGGTAAGAGAAACTATGCCTGGAAAATGGATCAACATGCTTATTGCGACAGCACAAATGTCAACAGACGGGATAAAACAACCTAGCTAATGGCAATTTGAAGCTAATCGTTTGTGAGTAACATTAACTTTTTCTTACTCGGAATTGCATCTATCCATTCATGGCCGCTATAATTTTTTTGCATTTCTGAATAGTTGAAGGTTAGTTAGATCGGCATACAAACAAAGTTTTTCAGATGCACATTGAAACATGGTAACTAGGAAGCTTTTTAAATGACTGGAAACGGGATGATCGGACCCTTGGAGAACTAAAGTAAGCAAAGATTGTTTGACCGAAGCTAAAAGTGGATCATTCAACTCTATAAGCGAGGAAATAAAGTTATTAAAAGATATCCATAAAAAAAGAAAACAAACACTTGCCATTAAATTTGGGGGGGGGGGGGTAGGGTGGTGAAAATCTAAGTCATCCCTGGTAAGCCGGTAAAGAAGTAAATGATCAATTAAAATTAGAAAACTTTAAAACTAAAAGGGGTTGGGAGGAGGAAATTATGTTGGAAAGCCGGGAAAGATTTAAAGATGTGCAATTTAGGAAAGAAAAAACATTTTTTGGTGAGGAAAAAAACGAATATGTGGGAAGATGATAAAGATTTTTTAGAGAAATAAAAAGAGATTGAATCAAATTGTCAAAAAAACATTGACAAAAGGAAGTTGAAAAGCCGATAGGAGAACCTAAAAGGAAGATGTCCTCGAACGGAATGATTCTAAAGTCTGTGTGAGAGATAATATCCTTATTGCTGAGAGAGGATATCTTGCATTTTTTTCTATTTAAGGAAAGAAATTTTGAAGTTACCATTATAACGTTCTCGATAACAGACATAACATTGGGTACAGATCCGCCAAAAGAGCCATCGTTGAGATACCATAAATTTAGGTCTAATTTGAAATAATGCTTTAAATCTTCGATCAAATTCTGAATACCTATAATAAAGTGCAACTGAATCCCTTCTTCAGAGGATTT